GATCCTGTCATGAGTTACTGAATCTGCAATCAGCGAGGAAGTACGACGACACGAGCGTTTGCGGTCGTGTCGCGATGGAACGTGCGAAGTAGCGAAAGATTGCACTCATGAAACAATGCAGTTGAAAATTTATTGAGTAATTGTCGTGAGCAAAAGTATCATTTTTCCAGGGTGTCGGAATCAATATGCGATTCCCCAGCAACTGAGAAAAGTTTTTTGCATAAGTCTCTTAAAAATGCGCGATGCGTTGCAGTGAAACGTCATTGATTCAAATTCTTTATTGCAAATCTTATTTTTCTGGAATAAAAAGAAATATATGAAATCAGAGATATTAGTAATTATATGTGAAAAAATTATTAATATTTAAAAAGTTTTTTAGATGACATATTTATTTAATATCTGAAAAATATTATCATCCGGAAAAATGTTATTTTTAACAATACTTGATAGAAAATCTTAAAAGTTATAATTTTTAAAGCTCAGAAAAAATAGAATAAAAAGCCAAAAACAAGTTTTGGAAAACGTTTCGGCAAACGTATATAATAAAAATTTATTAATCCTCAAATTAAATCTCGAGTTAAAATGAAATCTCATAATCTCGAAATTAAAAAAAAAAGTAGCAAATGTACTAAATGTATTAAATATACAATTTCACTCTTGCCTTTTTGTAGCTCTATTCTTTAAAGGAAAATATTTGTCCAAAATTTTCTTTTCCTTAAATGTAGAATATTTAAGAGAGACAAGAGTTTTAAAAAAATTCGTGCGTGTTTCTCAAAACATCGCTTTTATTCACGCACCTTTCTCAGAGTGAATTCTTCGATTACATTCAAGTATACAAAAGATTACAGGTAGACAAAAGATCGGACACGTCCGATACCGCGCACTTGGGGCTTCTTTATCAAAAAATCAGGCATTGATACTTGAACCGCAATCGCGATAGCTATACAATCGAAGCACGAACTCGCCCGCGAGTTAGAGTTTTCGATTCACCCTCGGTCGGATGGGACGCAAATTCAAGAGGGGTCATGAAGAGGAGAGAGCAGGTGAGCTAGCCCGATGCGCACGCATGCATGAAGTGCGGCAGATCCGCACTTGAGATGCATCCGGGCGCGATTAATGCACTCGAAGATGTTGGGGATAGGTTCGTTATTTTGATAGCGTTCCTCGCGCACATTCACAGGCGCCGTTCGCGCTCTATTGCCGTGTCAAATTGAGTTAAGGCACCGTGAGCTTCGTGAATACCCAAGTTTCTCCGCTGCCGGATGGTCGGAATCATAATAATAAATTGCAGTTAAACAGTTAAAACGAAGGGGACCGCATAGCAGAAGTTGAACTCGGCAAGAGCGCGTTAAAATCAACTACATTAAAATCGCTTTGCAAATTAAGTGCATGTTGCAGAAAATTACAAGTTTGCAGAAATTTTCATAATTATTATGTATTGCGTTATGTAAGAAACTGTTTTAAGGGATCCTTGGCGAAATATTTTCTTCGACTCTCGGTTATTTTATTGCATGCTTCATTCATTTCCGTTAAACGGAACTATACTTTCGTATTCGTCTTCTATTCACATTTATATGGCCATGAAAATTCCGAAATAATTATGGATCTTTAAAATTTTATAATAAAATTAAAATTAAAGATAAAATTAAAATTTCATTTATTTTATTATATATATATATATATATATATATATATATATATTTGGAAATTTTTATCTAAAATAAAAATAAAAATTTGTATTTAAAAATTTATGTAATATACCAGGATAAATGTTTTATCACAAAACTTTTTCTTCATATTTCAATCCATCTGTCATTAATCTTACGGGAATGAAATATTCAACACTCATATCACATAGCTAGGCTATTTATTAAGATATATTCAAGCATGCAATTTTAATCCAACATTTTGTCAAACATTAAATCAACAGAGCAAGAAGAACGTCCTATCGTTCCAAATTTGGAAGCAATTTTTCAAAGTTTAAAAAAGAACCATCTATTATGCATATGTTGCAATAATGAAGGAACCGTGCTGAATTACACGTTTGCCCTCTTGACGAAGGTGCATTTCAGCAGATAAGCCACGACACCGCATCGTGGTTAACACAAAAGAAGCGGAGGAAACTTTCTTTCAGAGAGTGAACCACGTATAATGCGAAGGAGCAACGGCAATAGTGTTTGCGTGCGCGGAGAAAACTAAGGAACCGAGCATCTCACCGCCCTTAGCTATCACTTCGAGCATGTAATGCACCCGTGCTTACTTACATGCGGTTCCACCCCTCGCGTACCTTTCTCCTCTTTTCTCTCCGTGGCAGCTTTTACGGCCTCGTGAACCCTTTCGAACATGTCTGCGATGATCGCGAGCGATGGCGTGCACCGAAATATTTTGACCGCACGATCCTCCGTCCTTTATTCGCAGAACGAAATACTTCAGCTTCCTTTACGACGAATGAACTGAAACAAATTGACAAGAATTTTTTAAAAAATGAGAGAATACATCAGATATTTTTTCTTTGTAAAAATTAATTAATTTAATTTTGAGACAAGATTATAAAGAAAGAGAAAGTACATTTCCTTTGTCATGCAATATGGCATGATATGGCTCGATAATAAAAAGTTTAAAAATTTGTTAAATTGCTGCGACAGGGCAAAAAAAAAAAAAAAATAAAAAATCGGCGTTAGCAAGGAAAATTCGTTTATACTATACATTATAAAGAGCGGTAGTTTACGTCGCAGGCAATTTTTATACGAGAATTGCACGGAATTACGAGAAACTTAAAGCTAGCCGGTAGTTGCGCGTGAATAGCACGCAAACTCCCCAAACTGACTAACACACGTTGTACTTTCGTGCCGCCAGCGGGTACTTCGTTTTGCAAACGACGAAACTAGATGCACCACACAACACCAGCCAAACCTTTCTCTTTGATATTATTTCGGGTGTGTAATGGAACTCGTCGGAGAACCAAAAGGTGCATCCTTTCTGTAGACAAATACCACGGTTGTATGCAAGAACAAATATTTGATAAAACAAACGATGCATAAACCTGTATTGAGGACAAGAATAAAATTTGCATTGCTACCGATACGAGAGATCACGTTATACATATTATGAACTTAGGGCGAGTAGTTGAAGCGGCAAAGTGATAGTGAGTGATGGATTCCGGCCGCCCCATTATTCTTCCTTTGTTGGAAGAAAACTTCAAAAATTACTTTATAAACATTTTAGTTGTAACCGTTTTTTATTAATTGTTTCAGATGTTTGCGATAGCAATACAATTTTATCTTGTATATATATGTTCGCATGTTCATTTAAGATGTCTTGTCAAAAAAGACAACAAAAAAATATCTTTTCGTAAAATATATTGTGAATTTTTTTTAGAAATTAGAAACTAACGATAAAATTACAATTTGCGAAGTATGACAATTTTATAGACATTACCATAAATAATCGCTTCAGCGTTATCAGCAATATCGAACATCTTTCTTTTTCTTTAATGTATCACATATCTGATTTATATATAATTAATAAAAGTTAATTTTATTTTAGTTTGTTTAGATTGATCTATAAGTTAATTGAGTTGATAAAAGCTTTATATAATATTCTTTTTTAATAACGCCTAATTTTTATTTCAGAATCGAAAAAAATTACTTTTTGACAAAGAAAAATTACTTCTTATTCATATATTTTCTCTTTTTTCTTTCTGTTTAAAATATATACGCTCATTAAAAAATTGTTGGAATATGTGATACATGTATAATTTTACAATAAATCTTGCGTAATAAAATAAGTCGCAACAAATTCGCATTTTTGATAAAAATGCATATTTGTGATGGAAATGCAATACCTCGCTCACGACTCATTAACTGATTGATATCCAATAATTATAAACATACTTTCGACAACGAAAAAAGCTTTTAACGTTTCTGAATTTAACGCAAGTTATCGCTAAATGTAGCTTTGGAAAAAATACGCCAATAAGTTTCAAAAATTAATGGGAAATGAAAAAGATTAACAGAAAAATAGAGGATGGCATTTCCCTTATTTTCTAGAATTTGTCGATAACATACTTGCATTAAAGAAACCTTATATATAATATCGAATTCAATAATTAGCATATTTTGACAGTAATTAATAATTTCGTGAAATGTTACCGGAATAAAATATATAATTCAATCTATTGTTGCATTTACTATGATTCAATCTTACAATTAATTAGATAAAGATGATTTCATCGTATGATAAAAAATAAACTATAACAATTATTAGAAAAATGTAAAATATGTCTGTGAAAAGAATCTCAATTAATATCAATCAAATAAAGCTAAAAATAAGAACACAAGTTTAAATGTTTCAAAAAAAAACTTAATAGAATAATTTATTAACTCTCTAATAAAAAATTATATACACCGTCTATTTGCTTATTCATTCCTATATATTTTGCACGAATAACTTTGAATTTATTAATGCTGAACAATTATATATCGGCGATTGTAATAAAACATTATGATAAATTAGTCAATTTATTGTTTAACAAGGTTCTCAGATTAAATTATACAAAATAGCATATATATATAGCATTATTTGATAAATATTATCTTATGATTAAGAGATTAGTTATAATATTTATCACAGAGAATGGCAATAAATTATAAAAATATAAGGTACTTTTGTAACAATAATTCATAATTACATTCGCTTACATTCAGAAAAATAATGAGATTCTACAAAGCGAGAGAGATAGTGAATTATATACTTTATAAAATAAGATATAATTTTTTAAACATTTCCGAAATATTAAAATCGATATTATATAATTTAAGATTACTTTCAATATAATTACCAATATTTTTCTATGTTACAAGTGAGATATACTCATATAATAGATCTTATAATCTTAAATGCATCATTTATTGATATAAAAATAATATACTGATAATATAAATAAGATTAATTAATATAATTAAGATTAGTTATTAAAAAATGATGTAATAATAACAGCTTAAATAAACAAATAATTTATTAGATAGTAGCACATTATGAGAGAAATACTTAACAATCACTATCTTTCTCTTCTTTTTTCTTATATTCTATACTCTTATCTGCATCTTTATTTTCACATTTGCACTTTATACATTTCTCTTTTAATTGATGTTTGTCAATGCCGGCATCGCCTCCAGCAGGATCTGCTTTAAAATAATAATCATTTTATTTATAAAAATATATAATTAACCTTGTTCTTATTTCATTTAATATTACCTTTATCCTGCTGCTTTGATAAAATTTGTTTCATTTTTTTTGAATCTTTCAATTTTTTCTTCGGTGAAATATCCTTTAGTAAAAAAAAGATCTAATGTAAACAATGCAGTAATATTTAATATAAAAAAGACTTAATATGAATATATTAATCTATTGATGTCTCACTTTATAAAAATCGTATTATTTTTCTAACATATGCAAATGTAATTATAAATAATTGTGTATATTTGTAACATTATTTATTATTATAGAAAATTAGATATTTAGAATTTTATTTGAAATATTAAAATTAAATTTTAAAATATATACTAATGTTTTAAAGAAAATGATTCATTTTAATCAATAATTCAATAGAATTTACATATATATGCATTATATTACATATTATTTCTTCAATTAATATTTCAAATATAACAAAATTATAAGTTATAGAAAAATATTTGATATACCTCGTAAATCCGTTCAATACGCTCTTGTTTTTCATTAGAATTTGTTTTAGCCTTTATTCCGAAGTTTAAGAATGGTCCAATACCAAAGTTAATAGATCCACCAAACAAGAAAAATGGCACTAATATTATAAGTAGACAGATAGCTGAATAAAGGATGATCATGATAGGAATTTTGTACACAAAGTTTAGTTTACCTGTAAAAAAATGAATATTATAATAAATAATTCATTAATATTTTGATTATATATTATTGATATTAAAAAAATTTACTCACTGGTAGCATTATCTATAAATTCAGATATAACAAGTCCACAATATGATACTGGTTGAAGAATGACTGTACTAAGAAAGTATGTCAATGCATATGCTGGTGTTACTTGTAGTCTAGGATTGGTCATAATTGATTCGTAATACTTTTCACAATCATTTGTAGCTGTGAATAATCAAATAAAATTGATATAATTGAACTCTCAAATGTAATTATTTTAAATTATTTTATTGTATTTTAAATAAGCAACTCACAGGAAAATGATGCAACCATTTTATCCCAGAGGCCCATTTTATGTGGTTGACAAGCAATTGGCATTTCTACAAACTGTGCTTGTGCAGCCATTAATTTAATTTCTGCTTCCTATGAAAAATAATAATATTTAAGATTAGAAATAATTAACTATATTACATATTTCACACATATAATTGTTATAATTGTCTTCAAAAATTATATATGAATATTTAATGCATATTATAGATTTAGATATGTTCAATATAAAAGGACATATATGATAAAATCATGTATAAATTACCTGTATAAGTTGCCACCAAGTTATAAAAAAACTTATTATAAATATGACATCAATCAATAAAAAGATAATTAAACCTCGAGACCATCTTTGTCTTCTTAAAATCATAAAGCTAGATATGACTATTAAGGAAATTATAGTTATGTCCCACTGCAATCAAGAAGTCGTTTAGATTTATATTAAACATAAAAAATATTATATATATATGTGTATGTATATATATATATATATATATATATATATACATATATATATATATATATATATATATATATATAGAGAGAGAGAGAGAGAGAGAGAGATTTCAAATATCATATATGTGCTATTAAATTATTCTTACATGTTCTTTCATAATTAACAAATAATTCATCAAATGCTCTGATAATAAATAACGAGACATATCTGCCATATAGTGATACATGGTATAGTCAGGTTGTTTTATTACATTGTCAAGAATTCTATCAACTTCTCTTATAGATCCTTGGCCATTTACAAAATTCTGGAGATATTCAAATTGTGAAGAAGATGCCTCTATATTAAGTATTCCAATTACTTTGTCATCAATTCTCTGTATACATAATTTGTCAATGTAAAACTGTATTATATTTACTGTATAAATTTATATATAATTGTAATTTCAAAGTCCAAAATAAGTAGGAAGTTTTATTACAAAAGTTTTCTCGGTATTATTTTATATCGCAAACTAACCTGTATAGCAAGATTTGATAACATTATAGTAATCAAACGTTTATAAAAGATTGCTTCCTGACTTTGTCCATTTAATTCTTTATAGTTATATGATTGTATTGCAAACTGATCATTCATTTTTGCTTGTGCTGTTGGTCTAAAAGAAATCAAATCATATGTTATAGTGTACATGTTGTATATGTTTATATAAGACAAAATATATACTTTTCTGAATCCTTTTCTGACTTGTAAAAAAAAGAATATATATTTTCCAGGTCGTCTGCAAGCCTAAAATAAACATTTTTAAAACCAAAATCATAAATATAATAAAAAAATAGTAATATGTATACAATAACTGAATATTATTTATCTCAAGACAAGCATAAAAAAGTATTGTGCATATAATTTAAAAAAAATTATACATTTATAATATATACTTTTTTAACGACAAATTTCGCACCATATATATAAAAAAATACTTACGGCGTGACATCATCGAGTGTATCCGTTTCGTCGCAATAAACGTTAGAATAAAGTGCATACAAATGCAATATAATATATATCGATGACTTGAAGAACTGCATGTCGATTAAATGCTTTCATGTGTTTTTCATAAAAATATTCTTTATGAAGAAATATACAAGACTATTGAAATATTCTAAACACAGCGATGAAAAGTATACGCGCCGGCAAAGTATCTTTACTCTAGCTCACTATAACCAATTCATCAAAGCAAAATACCCTGCCAATATCTAGTCTAGTTCTTTCGAGTTATCGACTAGTGAAATGTTTAGGCCTGTTCTTTTTAGCTGCACTACTGCAATTAGTTAGAGTGAAAGGAAGTATGTTTGTCTCTTTCTAACTTATTGCACTAGTGCAGCAGTGCAGCTAAAAAAACAGACCCTTTATAAAAAAATAAATAATCAAATTCCAGAATATGCGAGCACAAAAAAAATGAGAAAAATATTCTTTTCTTATTATCAATGAAAATTTATGTATACACTAGATATTTATTAGTTGATATATTAAAATAAGATTTATTTATTCCATGATTAAAGAAAATAATATATATATTCTATTTTATTAATATATATTAATTTTGTTATATTGTGTATCTTTTTATCATCTTTACTAAAATTTTGAAATATTTAATATTTTTCATATTGATATATCAAAATAGCTGTTTATATACTAAACCATTACTGATGACATGCAGCATGGGTTTTATTAGTGTAATACATTTATTTACATTTCTAAGGGCTACCTTTATTTATCATTATAAGAAATTTAAATACGATATAAAAAACATAAAGTAAACGAATTAAATATTAACTATTCAATACTGAAATAACAATTGTACTTATAAGTACAATTATTTGTGAATAATTTTCATTGTTCTTTATATATAATAGCTTTATTGAAAATAAGGTAAACTTAATTTAAGACTTATAATTAACTTAGATCGCTGTTTTAGTATATAATACCGAGTATCATTTAACAATCTTAATTTTATTGTAAGATACCTTACTCTCGTTGGGCTGTACTTCACCAAATCTAGCTTTCCTTTTTTCCAATCGTTCAGCCAATTCAGCCTTAAAAAAAGTTATTTGATAATAAAGTCATAAGTCATGATAAAAAAGTATAGTAATGTAAGTCGTCAAAATAAATGTATGCATATATTTACAAAAATTATTTGCTTACTTTTTCCATCAAAGTAGATACAGAGGTCCCGAACCTTTCTGCACGTTTCTTCAATGTATCGTAAGTAGTATTCTATCAAGATTTAAAATTAATATAAAATAATTTTACATAAAAATTTTATATATATAACATTTTATCTTGATAACATAGATTGTAAAATAAATCATTAATTTCTTACCACAGGTGTTTTTATAGATGCAGCTGATTTATTATTTTGATTATTGACGTTAAATCGAGCTAACCTAGCTTCTTTTTTTGCAGCTTCAGATAATGGCACTCCAAATTTCTTAGCTCTCATCTCTAATCTCTGTTAAAAAATTATCATAATTATCACAAAAGATAAAACAATTTTACAGTAATAGTACAGTAGTAGAATACAGTAAAATAATTTACAGTAGAATAATTTTATTACATTATTCAAGATTTTATTATTTAACATATATCCTAACAGATATAAAAATGATAAAATTTTCAATTACCTCTTTTGTGCTGAGTTCTGATAATTTAATAATCTTTTTCTCTGGTGGCGCAGTAACAGGTTCTTTTACATTTTTATTTTCATTTTTTTCCACTTGATCGTTTTTAATTTCTTCAAGTACAGGTTTGCGATTCAGCACTATTTTTTTCGCATTAGTATTATTGCTCTCCACTGATAATTTTCGCTTCTCAGGGAGTACCTGTGAATCTGGTTTACTTGATAATTCTTCTATTTCTTCATCCTATAAGTAATTCAAATTTCTCGCATATAGATAATTAAAATAATAATTTTTTGATATATATTTATTACTTAATTCTCAAGTTATATATAGTCAAATATATTATCAATATCATATTATATGTGTGTATATATATATATATATATATATATATATATATATATATATTTATTTATTGCAAAACTTACACCAAGTACTTCATCTTCATCTAAAATTTCTTCCGTAGTTTCATCCAGAGATAAGGCTGAATCTATAAAATTTAAATCACTCACATAAGAAGATATATCCTTCAAAATTATATTAAAATAAAAAAATAAATAAAAATGAAAACAGACCTCCCTGGATTGCTAATTGAAGCCTTTCTACTAATTCATTTTTATTGCCCACAGTGGGAAGACCTCTTTGCTTTAATTCTGCTCTTAGATCAGCCACCTGAATATACAAAAAAATTTGTATTTATATAAAAGTAAATCAATATTGATATTGTGTTTATAATTAAATGCTAAATGTTGTCATAATAATAACAAAATCTGTTCTTTTGACTGATACTGATATGCTTTATATTTTCAAGATAAAAAAATAATTAGTTCTTCAGCAATATAATTTTTTATGATCTTATCAATGAATTTAATATCCAGCATGTGTAATGAATTAATTAAATAGAATCTAACTGCCCTCGTAAAGCTTCTAAGGGGAAGTTACTTTTCAGCCGAAAGTCCATAGTTTAAGGTGCCAAAGCTTGTAGATAAATAAGCAAATATATAAAAAAGAAATATTACTGTGGCATTATCGTGTTAATTGACTGATGAAATGGTCTTTTGCAATTAATAGCGGAAATATATAGATAAAGCAAATAAAGTAATTTGAATTGGAAAATGCTAAGTTGACGGTATGATTTTACAAGTTGTAGAAAAATTGATGGTTAGGCTATCATCGAAGTTACGAACATCACTGCATGTATAGATCGATTTATGATATTTACCTTCATTTTTGACAGTTCAGTCAATCCTTTTTCGTAGGACGAGTCAGCCATAACGTATTCGTCGTATTTAACTCAAATTACAAACCGCTATTAACAACGATGCAACATTTCACATTACCATTCCCTCTTGCAATGATACATTAAGGTGCAATTTCATTGACGCTAGAAACCAGCGGCAAATTAAAATCACTAGACTTTCTCTAGATATGGCGTCAATAAAATAAAGTTCAAACAGTTTCAACTTTTTCAGTGTGTAAAGCGGCCTTTTCATTGACGCTACTTTTTAGCGTCAATGAAATTGCACCTTAACAGTTGGCAGCCCTACGAGATAGGCTGTGCAGCACTGCGCGTATATAAAATAAATTTGAAATCGCTTCTAGCCTAACCATCTTCACGTGATCGACTTTATTTGAATTGCACGGCATCGCATCGAATTATGATGCGGCGCCGATTTGTTCGAACGTAATTCGGGACATCGCGATGCTGTATAAGCGTCGAATGAGCACGAATTGTCACGCAAATATGATAAATCACATCTACTCACCGTTCACCGGCTGTTCCACAGGCCGCTCCACTCGCTCGCCTCGGGACGTCCCATTCCGATCTTGATGCACACGATATCATTAACGCGAACGCGCGACACTTTATTCGGCACTCCCGATATTCGCTCGCATCCGATAATCATCATCAAGGGCGCAAATAACGCGACGCGACTTCGCTCCATCTTCGCGATCGCGCTATCACTGAACTGTGAAAAATAGCTGTCGCGCACTTTCACCGACATATTATGAAAGTCGCGCGATCATCCTTGGACACTTTCGACGCTCTTTCACTCGCGATATTCGTTTAAAAACGGTTAAAAGACGCGAAAAATGCGGACGTACGACGATCCGTGTAACTGCGTATGACTCCGATTCACGTATGACGCGTATGACGTAGCAGTGACGCGTATGACGTAGCGATCACGCGCTAACATGGCGGCCGAACCAGTGCGCATTCGTTTCTGCGCACTGGTTCGGCCGCCATGTTAGCGCGTGATTGCTACGTCATACGCGTCATACGTGAATCGGAGTCATACGCAGTTACACGGATCGTCATACGTCCGCATTTTTCGCGTCTTTTAACCGTTTTTAAACGAATATCGCGAGTGAAAGAGCGTCGAAAGTGTCCAAGGATGATCGCGCGACTTTCATAATATGTCGGTGAAAGTGTGCGACAGCTATTTTTCACAGTTCAGTGATAGCGCGATCGCGAAGATGGAGCGAAGTCGCGTCGCGTTATTTGCGCCCTTGATGATGATTATCGGATGCGAGCGAATATCGCGAGTGCCGAATAAAGTGTCGCACGTTCGCGTTGATGATATCGTGTGAGTTTGTGTGCATCAAGATCGGAATGGGACGTCCCGAGGCGAGCGAGTGGAGCGGCCTGTGGAACAGCCGGTGAACGGTGAGTAGATTTGATTTATCATATTTGCGTGACAATTCATGCTCATTCGACGCTTATACAGCATCGCGATGTCTCGAATTACGTTCGAACAAATCGGCGCCGCATCATAATTCGATGCGATGCCGTGCAATTTAAATAAAGTCGATCGCATGAATATGGTTAGGCTAGAAGCGATTTCAAATTTATTTTATATACGCGCAGTGCTGCACAGCCTATCTCGTAGGGCTGCCAACTGTTAAGGTGCAATTTCATTGACGCTAAAAAGTAGCGTCAATGAAAAGGCCGCTTTACACACTGAAAAAGTTGAAACTGTTTAGGTGCGGCCTCATTGACGCTAAAAAGTAGCGTCAACCATTGGTTGAACAAAGAGGTAAGTATACTTACCTCTTTGTTCAACCAATGGTTGACGCTACTTTTTAGCGTCAATGAGGCCGCACCTTTTGAACTTTATTTTATTGACGCCATATTTAGAGAAAGTCTAGTGATTTTAATTTGCCGCTGGTTTCTAGCGTCAATGAAATTGCACCTTTACTCACATATACACAAGCGCGCGCGCGCATATCGATTCAGCTTTATTCCAGAATCCAACTAATCAAACGCAAGCTGGAGAATCGATTGATCGAAAAGTTAAAATACTTTGATTTTATCAATTCTTTTTTTTTTTTAATTTGTTTATGATTCTTTTGGTAAATGATTATGAGATTAATTAAAAGATTAATTAAAATGTTTGTGAAATTTCCGGAGCCCTGATGAAATCATCTCACGAAAAGTGACAGCATGGCCCTATGAGGCTTTTCTTGCACTAGAGTGAAAAGGAGAGATAATAAGTAAATGCGAAATATTATAAATATTATAAATAAAATATTTTAACGAATTTTATATAGATATTATATTTGCAAAGGATATATGTTGATTGTTATTTACTTTGTTTTTATTTTTTGTCTTAAGTTTCAATTTGGTAATGTTGGCTGCATTGACGCGAACAGATGAGATATGCATGTAACATCATCACTATCTGAAATAAAATTGTGTAAGCATAATTTGTCGAGATGGTGGATGAATCGACGAGGAAGACTTTAAGTAATATTCCATTACTTCAAACAAAAGCCAGTCCCAGAGATAAAGATTTATGGGTGCAAAGATTGAAGGAAGAGTATCAAGCTTTAATTAAGGTAAAAAAGAGTTAGCTCAATTCTGTCTTTCTAAGACTGTAAATGTCATTTCCATATGGACTTCTGTCTTTATTGTTTTATATACGAATAAATAGCTAGATATTAAAAATTAATTTATCATTATTCAAATTGTTAAGAACAACATTCTTTTATCATGGAAATATTTTATGTAATGAATTAAATTGCATGAATATTGTTATTGACATACAAACTTAACTATATATTACAATTCGTTTCTTACAGTATGTAAAAAATAATAAAGAAGCAGATAATGATTGGTTTCGGTTGGAATCAAACAAGGAAGGGACCAAATGGTTTGGCAAATGCTGGTATATTCAGAATTTTCTAAAGTATGAATTTGAAATAGAATTTGATGTAAGTAACTTTTTATGAGTATAGTTATTTTAATTTATTCTATTTAAATAAAGAAAAATTATATCCAACACAAAAAATGCTATTTATAAATAATATTTTAATTTATATTTTCACACTTATAAAATTATTAAAATTATACTAAAAATGTAAAAATATTTCTATAAACATTACACTTATACAGTAATGTATTTTTTTCCTTAGATTCCTGTTACATATCCCACTACAGCACCTGAAATTGCTTTACCAGAATTAGATGGTAAAACGGCAAAGATGTACAGAGGAGGCAAGATTTGTCTCACTGACCATTTTAAACCATTGTGGGCTCGCAATGTACCCAAGTTTGGCATTGCTCATGCAATGGCTCTTGGTGTAAGTTTAATTGTCTAATACAATTAAAGTTGTAGAACAAAATCATTAGGATGAATATAAAAATTCTTACATTAAAATAATAGTTTTGTACAAGATGTAAAAAGGTATATATTTTTCAGTTAGGACCATGGTTGGCAGTTGAGATTCCAGAGCTTATAGAAAGAGGCGTCATAGTTCACAAGGAGAGTGAAAAGAAATCGTGAATATTATACATAAATAGTGCAAAATAACTAAAATGCAATTATTGGTAAATAATAAATTATTTTTTTATGCCTATTATTTGAAAATAAATTTATATAATACATTAGGTTTTTTTACACATGATATATTAGAGTATTTACATAATTCAATATGCAATTAATAAAAACTATTTAATATGCTATTTATCATTATCATCTAGTTTTATTTTCTTACTGCTTTTAATGATTTCGTCGAGCTTATACAGGTCTTTGAGCGATACTTCTCCTGTTCCCCTCTCGAGAGGCTTTGGTTGAGACGCATCTGGTTTCCATCCCAACATATATATTATTTGAAATGTGGCACGAACGGAATCTTCTCTGATACTTTTATACATATGCTTATATATAGATGCTGCTGCAATTAGTGTATCTCTTGGTAGGTGCAAGTTACGATTCTTGGCTGCATTATTTTCTGCCATTCCTAGTAAGGTAACAAGTAAAAATACCACGTATAAAATACAAAATTTTCTTGTATTAAGTAATTCTTATTTCTATTTCTCCTATTAAATTCTCTTATGTAATTAAGAATTTTTTAAATAATTAACCTTTCAAATCCCACATAAGCTCAAACATACTCGGATAACCGATGACTATTTCATCAGTATCAATAGTCAACATAGTAAAATTCGCTCTCGTTAATAGAGATCCAACATCCCTAATCTCTACGAAGGGTGAAATATGTGGCGAAATCCCACCATGTCTCTCGAGTTCAGCTAATTGCAAGGAACATCTATATTATCAGAATGATGGCAAAAATAATAAGAGCAAATAGATACAAGATATCCTCGATAAAGTCCTCGATATAATCCTGGCAATTTTACCTCAATTCATAAAGAGTATCACCACCAAACATAGCTGCCAGAAAGACTCCGTCATTCTTCAAACTACTATTTATACGTTGGAAACATCCAGGGAGATCATTAATCCAGTGAAGACTCAAACAACTAATCACCATGTCGAAACTGTTAGGTTCAAAGACTACATTCTCCTCATCAACAACTTCCTTCTTGATCCTCACTCCTTCCGTACTACTGGCTTGCTGCAAGAGACTTGGACTCATCTCAGCTAATACCAATTCCTCCACGGATTCGCCGACAATTCGCTTGGATACATGACCGCGACCGCATCCTAAATCAAGAACCCTGCCAAACTTTCGTTTAATGTCGAATATCCGGTCGGACAACCTGTCACCCACCTCGTCCTTGAGGTAGTCATACAGGTGGACGTCAGCGTTCTTTGCAGCACGTTCGCGCTGCAGAAGCTTCGTCTTCCTGTTGAACACGTTCATCGGACTATCAGGTGGCAACGAAGACATTGACACTACATTACACGCTACGTTAGGATTATATCTGGGATTTGACAAGTTCAACCTGCCGTGTATTATGCGATCGCATAACGTCCGATTTGTTTCACGAAACAGAATTTTTGATGCCATTTTTTGCACAATTACTAATGTTTTTATTTTTCTTTAATCCGATATTTGTCCGATATTTGTAAAATACCACTTGTCCTTAATTTCTAATTTTTTGTTTTCGCACAAAAACTTTTAAAGATCAAAACTGCCAACGTATTTCATGTCATTGTAATAAACTTGGACTCTACCAAGGATATCTGTTATTGACAACGACACGGATTTATGACTCGATAATGTCGACTCTACTCGATGAATCCGCTCATTATATTAGGTTAATCCTAACCTTCATCCGTGGAAGGAAAGTTAGGACTAACCTAATATAAAACGAGATTAATAATGATTATTGAAGATCAAACGCAAATAAATTTTTATATCATACATACACAAATGTTGACATAACAATGTTCATTATATTTTATTTTCTAAATGTAAATACTTTTCATATGTTATATGTATTTAATATGATATATCTGTAATAATAATATAGTAATTCTTTAACATTTAACATTAACATAAGATATATTTTAAATTTTAATATTTCTTTTATTCTAAATTTTAATATTTTTTGTTTCGTGGTTTTTGAATATTTATAGGTGTTTCATATACATTTAAAAGTACCGCCATAAAATGTGTGAATTTACATCGAATTTTTTGATTCGCCGAGAAGTAAAGATTTCTTTGCCCTTGATTGGTTGATCAAAAACTTCTAAGTTTGAGCGATTTGACTCTCTCAAGTTTCATGATTGGTGACGTAACGTCAAAATGGCGTCTTGATCGCTTCGGTGGCGCTACCTTTCCGTGAAATTCTCTTCACGTTGTCGGCGCGTTTCGCGTCGTGTTTAGCGAGGTATCGCGTTTTGCATCTGGTGTGATTTAAAGAATCTTTTAGATTTTTAGCCAGAAAAATGGTCCAGAAGAAGGTAAGATCGTTGAACCATCGCGCGCGAACAATATTTTCATCGAATGACATTATTAGCAAAGAATATTGACGTTCAAAATTTTGGCATGTTTATTTAATACATAACGTGAAAATATGTTTTTGTTATGTAGTAATTTAATTTCATTACCGTTTAATTATCTTAAGCCTCGATGTTTCTCCACGTGTGATAAATATCGAATGATTAATTTATTAATATATTTCATAACCTAACTATAAAATGTGGTAAAAGTAATCTTATATTTTAACGCCATGACGAAAGCGAACGATTGGTATTCATTTAGCATAAGTGCAGTTCTTATTATTCTCTATCAAACTAAAAAAATAAGAGTTGAATTTTTTTGAAAGTGATTTATATATAATTTATATATATAAAAATAGCAATAAAATATATAGCATGATTTAATTACATATTTTGATAAAATTGTATGCTAGTGATTTTATCATAATTTTATTGATTATATTTTAATTTTCTCTTTCAAATATATAGCCAAAGAAGAAAGTAGGGAAGAAGGTAGCTGCCGCACCATTGGCAGTTAAAAAGGTTGAGCCAAAGAAGGTGACCAACCCACTTTTTGAAAAACGAACACGCAACTTTGGCATTGGTAAGTTGAAATAATTTGATTGAACTCATAGTTAATAATCTGATAATAGTCTACAGTGACATAAAATTCAGGGCAGGATATTCAGCCGGCACGTGATCTTAGCCGCTTTGTAAGATGGCCAAAATATATTCGTATTCAGCGTCAAAGAGCTGTATTGCAAAAGAGATTGAAAGTACCACCAACAATCAATCAATTTACCCAAACTTTAGATAAGCAAACAGGTAACTTTTATAAATACATGTTTGATATATTTTTATAGAAGCTTATGTATCGTACATATAAAACAATGTGGTATAATTATTTTTGTATGTATTATAGCTACACAGTTGTTCAAGGTATTGGAAAAGTACCGACCTGAATCAGCAGCCATGAAAAAGGCAAGATTGAAGGCAAGAGCTGAGCAAAAGATTGCAAAGAAAGAAGATGTACCAACAAAGCGACCAAATGTCATTCGTTATGGGACCAACACAGTGACTACATTAGTAGAGCAAAAGAAGGCTCAGCTGGTTGTTATTGCACATGATGTAGATCCTATCGAGGTTAGAATTTAATTGTTATGTCAGATTTATTTTATGTAAAAATTCTATTTAACAATGATCGAATTTGAATTTCTTCACCTGAGAAGCAAAAATATATTATTTTTCTTTATAGGATGAAAATTGACATCTGAGTTATATTTTTATTAGCATCTTTGCAGAAAAAATAATTTATAATTATAATGCTAATATAATTCATTTTTCTATTTGTGTAGATTGTGCTCTTCCTTCCTGCTTTATGCCGTAAGATGGGTGTACCATACTGTATCATCAAGGGGAAAGCACGTTTGGGACGTCTGGTTAGACGCAAGACTTGTACAACACTTGCTCTGACACAGGTATTATTTTCATTTTTTGTATTTCAATTATTGTAATTTAATCCAACTTTAATTTATGATGAATACACGAGCCAATCCAATGATAAATTATGATTATAAAATTTCTGATATATGTTTACAAAAATCTCATTCTTTCACTTTTATTTCAATTTTATTAAAATTTTATTACACTACTATGTATTATCTCAGGTGGATTCTGGTGATAGAGCTAACTTTGCAAAGATTGTTGAAGCTATCAAGACGAACTTTAATGATCGGTATGACGAAATTAGACGTCATTGGGGTGGTGGTATACTGGGAAGTAAATCTGCGGCAAGAATAGCAAAATTGGAGAAAGCTAAAGCAAAGGAGCTTGCACAAAAACAAGGTTAAAATCTTTGGCCACATTATTTACAGGTTACATCAAAAAATAAAGGATAAAATACAACTATACTTATATTTATTTGATAAAGTACTCCCACAAATTCACATATTTTTCCATTTTAAAAACTTTTTCCTATGTTAAATATGTACAATGAGAAAGTATTACAATATTTAATATTTTTAAATCCTCTTCTTGACTAGCTTTTCTAGTCTTTTAATTCTTCCAGCTTCATGCTCTGGGCTATCATTAACTACATGATTCTTTGTAGCGTGTGCGGTATTCGCGTTTTCAAGTTGTTTAAATTGATCAACAAATTGAACTTGTTCAGTTTTTTTCAATCCCTATAATATATATCAATTTCATTATTTATCTGATTAAGAATATAATAAACTAACTTTCTCGTATGTGCAAATTTTACCTTCATATCTAAAATTTTTTGAAATTCCGAGGATTTCAAGTCAGGCAAATGCATTCTGCATTGTTTGACAAAATCTGTCGCAGATTCAATCGAAGACATTACAATCTTTAATATCATTTCAGCATTTGCCATTCCTTTAATCACAACCTAGATGATGATACATATATCAAATGTATATTACTTATATCTATATTCATCTTTTATTTATTTTATGAATTACAATTACCTTGGTATATGTTATTGGAGCTTTTCTTTGTATTTGATAACCAGTTGATGGAAGATCTAACAAAGCTGTTTTTAACATGTGCACATCTAATAATAGTTGTTCTGCGCCAACGGCATTTAATGGTTTACATTTAAATAACTGTTGTACTAATTTTGCTATAAAAGAACTGAAAAAAGTATATGATAGAATCTCAAAAAGAATCACAATACAAGTTCACATCGTGTATAAATATTTTACCTAGCGAACTTGACACAAAACTGTGTGAAATATTTTCGACAAGAAGATAGTCTATCTCGAATGGTGGGTATTGTTTGTCGAAGATGTCCTATTATGGTATTAACATAATTACTTTGATCACCTACTACTTCCACAGAACTCCATTGCATCTAAAGAAAAAAATTATATATTTTATAGTAATAGATTATAATATTAATCTTATTATTTGAGTAAAATGTATTATAAATTTTGTGATGCAACAGTAATTATGTATCATTGATAAAAAAAAATTATACTTTCATCTACCTTAGTCATAGCAGTCAACGCGGATTCACAAGCTGTTTCTAAATCTTGAACTAATAATTGGATACAATGAGAAATCACCCTAAAAACAATGATCGGAAATTAATAATGATACATATATATATATATATATATATATATATATATATATATATATATGTACTATCTAATTGTGACATTCTTTTAACATATATTAAATTATAAATTACAGGAGAGCTAAAAGACATACTTATGAAAATTATCTTGTTCTTGAGCTAAAACAATTTTTTCAGAATAACATTCATCTGTCTTCTCACGAAGCTTCCCTTGTAATTGTTGTGTCGTCTCTAAACAATATTCTGCTGTTGTTAAGATACTAAAAAAATATATTTTTCATTATTTTTCTACTTTGATCTGGAATAGAAATGAAAAATTAATAACAGATATATTTACCAGCATATACGAGATTGTTCCTCCTTGTTAAATCTGGCAATTTCTCCTTCTTTTAAGAAACTCTGAAAATTTTGTATAAAACCTGATGTTGATAGATCTCGAAAATCACGTGTGATATTGCTCATACTGGTGCCGATACCTGCATTACCTCCGATTCTACATAAATGACAGTTAGTATATAAATAAACCAATTTTTATAATTATACGTTTGTACAATTGTTGGACTTACTTTGGCAAATTATTTTGTAAGATCTTGACTGCATATTCTCGTAGGTATTTTTGAAAGGTCTCGGTAAGACTCAGCATAATTAAACCAGTACTAAGTTGAGTACATTGTAACATACACTTTTTGTAAAACACAAATAGATCGGCACATGAGCTCAAGACACTGCTCGGACCTTCAATGCCATCAAATTCTTTGGCACCTGGTGGTTGTGTTTTAGAATCGGACACGAACTTATCCATCAGATCTGCTAAATTGCGATCTAAACTTTCTATATAGATATTCAGGTATGGTTCAAAACATCTTCCTATAAGATTTGCGAATGGAGAAGGTTTTGATTTTTCAGTTTCAACCTAGATTTACACAAAATATACATTTTTAATAATACATACATATAATTATGTATATATAATGTTTATGTAGCAGGTCTTTCGATCACCTTCTCATTTTCTTCTTCAAAAGGATTCCCCGGAACTTTTTCAGTCGCGTCGTTATTGACTATTGCACTTTTAGTTTCGACAGTCTCCAAAGTACTTCCGATAAAACGTTTTGCCAATAATGATTCAAAGTTACTGGTTCTCTGAATTGCATAAAGCAATAATTTAACATCTATTTCACTACGTCTCTTGTTCATCAATTTAGTGAGATCTTCACGTGTAACGTGACAGAACTGTACGGCTATACGTTCGGAGATCTCCCAATCTTGAGGAAAGATTGTACCGAACTTGGATTCAAAATCGAGTAGATGTTTCTTGATCCATGCGTATCTTCGATCTATTTTATCCAACCAAGCAAAATCTTGATTTTCATCAAACAAATGTGCATATTCTTGTAATTGGATATTTACGAACCAAATGAGCAGATCTTTCCTTTCAGAAAATGGTACATAATATATATTACTAGTAATCCTGATATTGTACGAATAATAATGTAATATAAACATTACAAATATTTAATATACATACTTCACTTTAGGATCTAATACTGATAATACTAAACATCCCTCTGTTAACTGATTGAAATGCTTTGGATTCTGGCCTGAAAAAGCTTGTTTGAAATCTGCTGTAATCTGCTGGGCCAACTCAACATGAATCTGATGTACCTTTTTTTTAGATAAAGAGGAACATGTTGAAAAAAGAATTCTATTCATTATCAAGAATATAATTTGTACTCTTACTTGATCAGATAACTGCTTCACTTGTGGTATATCCATATAGCTGTTAAAATGCTGCATCACTTCCATCACTGCTTGTAATGGTAAGATAATTTCTCCATATTGTTTCTTTTGTGTTAATATTCTAAATTCATAAAAAAATAGATTTATAATTTTTCATAATATTTAAATAATATTTTTAATATCAAGCAATATATACTTTAAACCATCTACTCCTTCTACAAGCATGTGTAGGTGATTTAGCGCTGTTATTGAGGCAGTAAGATTTCTTTTAGCAAAATCCAGTTGTTTAATATCTCTCGTGATCTCTTTGACCACTTCCTCCGATTGTTCCGCTTTATCTTTTATGTCTTTTATATGGACAAATAATTGCCTTATCACTTTTTGTGCATCTTCTAACGCTGCTCTACCATCTTGGCCTACATTAGTCTGCCCACGTACGACTGATCGTATATCTTTATCAAATATATCATATCATTCACTACATCATCAATATTTGACAAAGATTGTTCTGTAGGAAATAGAGAATTTATATAATCCACCACATTAAAATTAGATTGGTCCAAAGGATCGGTACTAGGTAAGACCTAATAATAAAAAAGACAATATTAAAAATGTTATAAAATTTGCATTTTATACATTTTTGTTATATATGTATTGCTAAATATGTAATAACTATTTATAATAAATTGCGTCTATAAATGTCAAAATAACTGGTGCTAAAAAAAAAGATAGATATGGAGAAAGCATTTTTTTATTCAATGTAAAAATTATTATATTATGTACAAAAGAGATCAATATAATAATAATGAGTGATGAAAATTTTTCAGGAAATTCAGAGAGAACTTCGCTTTCGCATCTAATGGCAAAAAGGACGAATGTCTGAGAAATATCGACAAAAAAGAAACTATCGCAAGCTGTCATTGTACAGCTTCGAAAACAGTTAGTTTGACAACTAACTCACAACGAGTCTAACCTGTTCGATGACGTTCTGCACATCTGGTGGGAATGTATAGATTGTAGAGCGCAATTCCTCTAAATCATCTTCCTCGTGATTTTCCATTGTACTACGAATAGACATGAATGTATTTCATACAAGCATTTCGTTACACTTGATCGGTATATATGTGAATTGTGACAAGGTGGTAGATGAAACCATTGTATATATGGCTATAGGTGAGACATATTTAATGACGTTTACATGAATGAGGCACGAGTAGTTGTCACGACACGATGGTAAACCGATCGATTACGCTATGCGATATGACGCTCAGAAGCTAAACTGATCAACTCCATTTTCTGTAAATTTTAAACATTTTCTTAATTTTAATATTAGAGTATCTATCTAATATTTTTTTTAATCTTAAAATTTAAAAAACTTAGAAAAAATTTATAAAAATTTAGAAGTTATAAAAAATGAAAATAACTTTACTTTAATCTCTGATTCTGGAAACGACATTTTATAAAGAGATATATTCATAGAAGTTGTAACAATGATAAAAATTCCTCTTATTTTTTTATTCGTGAATTCCGTAAATGATTGTGAAAATTTTTCTTATATTTCCTTAAATTCTCGACATTTTTATTTTAGCAATTTCGGACAATTTAATTTGAAAGTTTATTTAGTTTGCATTAACTATTTATTCTTTAATATTAATATAATTATCTTTATATCATTCATTATTTTTACTAATTATATCATGATACTATTTTAAATAGATTTAACATTTATTGCAGAACGGCGAGGAAGAACTTATATTCCACTCTTCAAAGTCGGAAAAAGAATAAAAATGTAAAATATTATATTTTATATATTAATATATGTGCTATATATATTTTATAAATGAAATAACTGTATTTTCTTATATTTTTTTTTTAGGAAAAATATAGCTACCCCGCTTATTGGAGAATTTTATATAAGAGTTTATAATTTCCCTTAATTTTCCGATTTTAAATCAAGAATAATTAAAATAAATAGATAGAAAGAGAAAGAAAATTTCGAGAAAAATTCATATAATTATATTCATATAATCATATAATTATATTCATATAATTTCTATTTTCGAATATAGAAGATTTACGGAGTGAGTTGTCATGAATAAATAAAATGCTCATTATTGGCTCATTTTTACGCAATGGTCGACGATCCTTTAAACGAAATTTATATATTTTTTCTTCGTTAGATCTCGTTGATGCGATCGCGCGCGCAATCCCGGCATTCCTTAATAAATCGGAAGGCAGGAAGGGTGTCTCGTGCAGGCGCCGCGACGTCGCACGTCGTCGTCTCGCGTCGCTCCCTGCGGTTGTTGGGAGGAGGTCAGGTCGGTCGAACGGGAGCGGGTCGGTCGAACGATCGAAGGGCCCCGCTCCACGGCTCAGTTGTAGCGCCGACTCCCGGCATACACGAAGTCGCGTCGTAGTTTAAAGGCACACTCTGTACAAACGTAGACACGCACGCCTCTTTCTTCCGTACCTCCGCCTCGCCTCGCCTCGCCTTCGCCTTGCCTCGCTACGTAGTGAGCAACAGATATTAACGTGCACGTTGTAGAAGCGATCCCCGATCTGTAGAAAGCGAAATGCAACGTCCAGCCGCCGATCATTGGATCAGAAAAATCCTCCTCGTGTATATTTTGCAATTATTTCCATGTAAGTGACACCCCCGCGCTCGCGTGTTCTTCTTCGCGCTCCTTCATCCCTCCGAATAACACGCATCGACAACCTCCCTCCTACTCGCCCATCCCGCCTTCTCTGTGTGTCCTTTTTCCCCGTCTTTTGTGTCTTTGTGTCGAGGACTCGTTACAAGGGATGATCGCGCTGCAACCGAGCGCAATTTCTCGGTGGATGCCACTCGTCGGGCGTGAACTCGTCGTTTGACCCGAGCCACCTTCGAAAGCAATCCCTTCGTTTGAGATCACGTATCGTCTGTGTTGATTTTCTCATTGATTTTATTTACGACTACTTTTCTAGATGAAAATTTTATTGGTCGCCATCTTTCTTCGTCCTTTCTTATTTTTGCCATTAAATGTCTTGGCAATTTGACATTAAGTATCTTGAGTGTCAAATTTATTTTTTGTTTGAACGATATCTGCTTAACGTGAAATGAAGAATAAGATTCTGAATCGTTGAAATGATTTGTATCTTCTGGTGTTGATGAGAAACTGCGTAATTTTATTTTTGCCCGTCTGTTATTGATAGATGTCGATATTTTTGGAAAAGGTTCGAGCGACAATAACCGTCCATAAATAACAATTTCTTCCGGTGAAGTTTAAAAACATTCAGGTGGATGAATCTTGTCTTATTAATCGTGTAAAAATAATCATGTCTTTATTTTAATTTTATTTTTGAAACACAAGAGGAAGAATTATGTTGTACAATATTTTTGAATTTTTGAAATCTTGATTTTTTTATCGTAAGAAATTATATATAACATAAATAATTTTTTTGCGAAATCAATAACACATTCATTTCTAAAAGATTGACGCTATGTTTTGCTGTCGTTAGTTGTTGCATTGTTTCAGTTGATGACTGTTGGATGCTGCAACTTATTCCTTTTACAATTCAATACTCTGATTATAATGTACACTTTGCACTTGGTGTGTTACATATGTCTCAACTTAATTATTCAGTGTATTTCAACATGTTTCCGACGAAGAATAATTCTACGCCATGTTTCATGGGACATTTTCCGGAGCATACATGAAGCAACCATTAGCACACATACAAGTGTCTCATCGCTTATTTGATATTATATACATCTCGATCGTGACAGCAACACGAACATACAAATTGTATTTGAGATAATAATATGTTCAGACAATAATAAAGTTTGTGTGTGCGCCGTTTCTCTTATGTATAAATTATACATATTAATTATTTCAAAATTTGGAAAATTATATATTCAGATAATAATATTAAAGGCGAGAGAATAGTATTATGCGGATTTATTGTATTTATTTATGTTGTTTTCAAAGTGATCAATTTCTTTCTTCAATAAATAACAGTATTATAAAAAAAATTAAGAAAACGTGACAAGTTTCAATAAATCTTTTTTATTAAATGTTTGAAAAATTTAGTATATCAATTTTAAAATGTTACTTTTTTGTCTCACAAGAAATTTAATATCAGAATAACGATTCACTCGCACGCTTTTTTAATGTAAAATTGAATAAAAAAAAATAATATAAACTTCTTTATTTCAGGAATATGAACGTTCTTCTATTATTCAAACCACCCACGTAGAATTACTACAATGTACTACATTCAATACGAATCCTCAATGGTCTTCACATACATGATATATATGTCAATACGACGTATGAACGAAACTCGAACACACGCAGTCATTCAGTCAACATCATAACACATAATTTTTCACGAAACTATTTCTGAACATATATTTATATTTGATTTATTATCACGTGTTTCGTGGCAATTACTTTCATAAGTATGCTTTCATAAATGTTTTTGTCACGAAATGCGATAAAATCGAGACAATTCTCATGATAGACTGACGTGACTCAATCTGACCTAGTTTATGCAAACTGAAGCAATGTGCATAGTAAATATTGTACAAATGAATTTGTTATAGACTGAATAATATAGAAAATCAATTAGAGCAATAATCTTTTTTTTTCTTTTGTAAGAAAAACTTTTATACTAAAAATAAAACTTTTTCTTAACACGCGCGAGATTTATATTAGTTAAATAAATGATTCCTTTTTAAATAATAAATCAATAATACGTTACGAGTGAATATAAGGGCGTTGTGTCAAACGTTTTAGTTACGATAGAAACTTTGTAATAAGTCAGTTACCGTGAAACTAGAACTACATTTGGTCCGATATGGACGGTAATATCATAGGAAATGCTGCTTCCCGAAAATCCAACAAACAAAAGCTCTTGACAATGGTTACTTCTTAATCGTTAATCATGAAATTTCAACTCTCCAAAATTCCGCAATTCCGCCAATTGTTCGCGATTTTCTAATCATTGATTATTATTCGGATTTGCGGACTTCATAATAAGACGGAAATAGTTTTGCTAATCGTATAAACTATTGGAATTTAATTCAACTTAACGATTTATTTTTTAATTTAATTTAAAAATTAAGAAACTTAGAAAATCTTTTAATTAACTTCAAAAATCGTCATTTTCTTTGATAAAATTGAAATGATTTAGAAAATGAAATTATTGGAGAGAAACAGAAAGAATAAAAAAATTTATAAATAATATACACATATGCATATATATAATATTAATTTTTTTAAATTCCAGAGTATATAACAACTAAAATTATATAATAATACAGATAATGTAAATACATGAAAGAAGAAGAAATGTATTTAAGCTAAAACTATTTATATTTTATGAGGAAGTTTATAACTGAATGTAAAAAGTTTAAAATTCAAAGTAATTTGATGACCTGACAAGTCTAATGTACATAAAGCAAAAAATATATGCAGATAAATATATATCTTTTAAATCAGTTAGATATCATAAATGCAATGTATTAAAGATTCATCGAGAATTTAATTAAATCAAAAAGGTCAATCAGTCTAATTGGAACAGCTGAAAATACAATCGCTTTTTCGGTCATTTGAATAACACAATTTTAAGAACTGTGGCAGAAACTAATTATCTGATTATTTATCGATCTAAATATATTTATGCAAAGCATTTGCTTTAATATCATGGTATTTATATAAAGGAAATGTCAGTTTTAACTATAATGAATTAAATATCATGAAAGGATTGTGAAGATACTTAATTTATAATAATTAAAATTGACCTTTATATATATATATATAAAGAATTGAAATATATTTCTGTCATGTTATATTGTGTATTATATTCTTACTAAAATATACCATGATATTCTTTTTTTTAGAATGAAGATATGAAGATTTAATAGAAAGCTTTACTTTTCAGTTTTGATTTGCGCTTTCAATTGCTTTTAAAAAAATCAGAAGCGATAGAGTAATATAAGCCATATTATTTTCAGAAAATCCGTAATAAAAATTTCATAATAAAAAAGTGTTTGTATGAAAATATTTAGTGCAAAATTTAACAGAAAAAGAAGATCACACATTCTGTACATTTTTAATATATCAAAGAGAGTTAAAATTATCTTAAGAGAGTTAAAATTATCTTTATATATTTCGAAAATTTATTTTCGCAATTTATATTCTCTCATCATAATCTATTAATGACTTATACTATTATTTCGCGCAACGTAACGTCGCGTATAGAAAACCGATCAATCCTAATTGCGAAGAATTCATAGTGACATATGTCAGCCGTTCAGCTTTAAACGTCCATTGAAATATGGACACGCGCGTAGAAAATCGTATGCCATTAACATTATCTGGCGACACGATCGACCTCGATAACCCTTGAAAATAGGCTTCTCATCTCAAAACGTCTCGAAATAATATACGATGCGTGTGGCGGTAATGCGCGCTTTCATTCTGATCGATACAGTAACACCTCTCAGCAACAGGGCAGACCGCTACAAGTAGTTACGACCGAAGGTCCTCCATTCTCTCTTCCCGTCCTGCTAAATTAATCCGTCAAATTAATCCTGTCGTCTTGTTGTCGCATCAATACCATTTTCGAACGAAAATCGAACGCCATGCTAATCTCGGCAGCATTTAATCGAAATACTAAATAACGCGATCTAACATTTTGTTATTATATTTTATTTTACATACATAATTCACATACATAATTTACAGTATAATAATTTTATAGTATAATAGTACAGTATAATAGCTTGAAATAAAAGATGCGTAATCTTTTTAATAAAATGTCGCAGGGATTCCTCGCATTTTATTTCGTTCATAAATTCGAGAATAAATTTAAAACTCATCTTTTCTCTACAGAAATGTTAAAGTATTAATACTTTTATAGTTAAACGATTCAGATTTAAAAATATTACGAATTAAACTTTATGAATACAAGGATGTAAACTCTTATGTTTTTTTATTGAATTTTCGATGAAAATCTTATATGTAATTTAATATAGATTTGTGAATTACGATATCTTTCAAAATTAACTTGACGTTCTCGATTCTAACTGAATATCGCATAACTCATAAGATATGTAGAATATATTCAACACATAATGATTTTATGTTACGTGGAATATATACTAAAACTGAATATCGCATATTCATAGGATATGAAGAGAATATGTTCAATATACAACACAATATAAAAATTTTACTTAATCTTATTATTATACAATAATTTTTCGATAAGTTAATATTTACAAGATTTTTATAAAATGGTAAAATATAAAGACAAAGCAAATAATAATATAAAAATATGGCTAAATTGTAAAATCTCTAAAATCTTTAGAATAAAAATATAGGTAAATTGTAGAATTTAATTAAGTATATACAAAAATATAGAAATATATTTAAAAATATATACTTCGCCTTTCTGCATTTTTGATTTTCAATTTTTAATTTTCAACTCTTTGACTTTCGATATATTTCCAACACACACCAGTAACAATTATATAATTGTTAGTTATAATTTCCCACTCGACAATACTGTTACTTGGTATTTGCTGGGTTCGCATTATTATCAATAAAAGTATGAATCAGGAAACACCCTATCACGTTCTATAACGCGTATTCTATAACTCTTGCCAGTGCAATCTTGTAACAATATTTTTGTTCAGGTGGCATTTCTCATGTCAATTATCAGAATTATACGATAGTATGTACTAACAGAGATTCCATGATTTCCAGACACGACGCTGGCGGAGCACATGAAGGTTCAGTTGATTGCGCCGCAGTATATAACATATGGCGAAACGGCTACTTTGTTCTGCAATCATACTGTTTCGGACGATTTGCTGCACAAAATAGAATTTATGAAGGCCGAGAAGAGGATATTTCAGTATATAAAGGAAAGAAATCCGCCGTATATCGAAACGCAACATATCGACGGCATTAAGCGTCTGGAGGTGAGCGAAAAATAATACACAAAGAGTTACAATTTTTAAGATACAATAAATATTTTTTGTTAGTGCACAAGGTCTTGCTTATTTTATTTTTTTATCATATTTGCTATATTATATTTTTTTCAAAAGGCGTGTAAATTATTAAACAAACACTAGAATTAACAAAAGAACGATAAAGAATAATATAACTTATTTATCTTCACGCGATGAGAAACATTATATAATATTTGAATAAATTTGACAATATTAACGAAAAAGTCTAAGGTGTAGTTGATTTCATCAACGTAAATTAACTTTATGTCTAGTTTATCTGATTCTTTACCACTCATAAATATCTTTGATATTGTAATACTCAGCATACTTTGAAGTCCATAATTATTCAAAGACGTATCTCATATCGTAACAGGCATGCAAGTTTGATAACACTTTTGCATAAAGTTTACGCCAAATTTGCACGACTGAAACTGATGTGCATCGACCTTTGCATCTCAATTTATCCGCAGTTAAATATACCTACGTCTACATCATCGTTTAAAACATGAATATTTAAAAAAATTTCTATCTTTATAACGGAAATTAAAGATTCGAATTTGTCTTGAAAATTCCGACAAATTAAACGATTGCATATTCTATCGATTCAACAATTTTACTTTTTACAATTTTAAAATAAATGATTTTTAATTTATCTCTTAAAGTGAACAAGATCCGATAATATATTTTAAATATATTTTAAATCCTTTTCTTGAATCTTCATAAATGATATTGCTTAATTTTGATTAATGAATATTGCTTAACTTATTCTAATTTTTATCTCTTTGTTATATATAATTTATAAATTTAGATATTTTGTCTTGTTTGCAACGCTTTTATTAAGATTTTAATTTTTTCAATAATTATATAATGTAGTAATATTTTAATTTATATATGAACAAAAGTTTTTTCTATCAAACTATTAATAAATCTTAGTTTATTAAGTATTAAATATTTTGCATGTGCATGTGTGGATGCATTTATTTTTTGTTATGTCACATTTTTTGTTATATCACATTCTTGTTTATATAATGATACAATGTTTTTTTTAACTTATCGTCTGACATTATTATGTGACAAGGATGCGCAAGTGAAAATATAATTTATGCATATATCTATCTTCACGTCGGTACGATCTATAAGAGAAACCGTATCTGTTGTAAACAAAAGTCCAAAAATAACTGAAACGCCCTCAATACTAGTTAGTTAGGTATTCAGAGTCCTCCCCTGTCTTTCCCTATGATTAATGTTTAAGCGAGCAAAGCTAACGCATTTATCCAAGGCTTGGCCTTTATGCATCGACACAAAGCAAAGTTATTTACATACGTGTGTACTTTATGTCACATAAAATACCTCCCCCAAACAACATCGAGACGCAACGCGTGAAAGCGCAATTTCCTTCGTAAATTTTTTTTGATGCCCAAGCAACGGAAGCGTAGCGCAGATAGGTGATCTATTAAAAGAAAGAGAGAAAGAGAAGATAAAGTAAAGAAGAAAATCAATACTTGCGCTAACCCATATGTGTGAAACATAATGTCACGAAGACGAATGCTTGTTAGCGGGTAGGTATATAAAGTTGACACATACATAAGTAATGAGACTCTCTTCGTAACAAAAATAGAACATTCATTTTGCGAGACTTTCAGACTGCTGATGACAGACGATGTAAGTGTTAAAAATGTCTTTCACGCTTTTCTTGCAAAAAAAATCTTATACTGTCTTTTCATTTGTCCTCTCTCTTTCTCTCTCTTTCTCTCTCTTGTTTTCGCTGAAAATACAAGTTGACTGAGTTACACAATATTCTTCTTCCTTTTCCATGAATATTTGTGTGTGTTGGAATACAGTTTTACTTTTTCTTCTTTTTCTTCTGCGCTCTATTTCCTAATTTTCTATTTCAATTTCCGTGAAAACTTTGAAGAATTGTCATAACCGATGATATTACATACACAAACTATCGGTACTCTTGAAATATCTGATATTGGCAACGAAAAATTGAGACTTTACCACAAGATTCATATCGAAGTATCTTAAGATTATTACATGAGATGAAAAAGCTGGACAAAAATAACCGCGTAATAAAATGAAATTGCTGAAAATTATTAGTTAATAAAACGAAATTGGATATTAATGTAACAGAAATGTCATTTTCTAATGTTTTATCACTTTAAAATTACCATCATTAAATAAGTAATAAATATCATCATCCAACATCATTTTAATAATATCACCGTTTAATAAGTAATAATGCCAAGATAGATATAAATTTTATTTATTGGAATTCTCTCTTTAAATCTTAATTTTACAATTTTCGAAAATTTTTTTATAATATAAACAGTTTTATCTTTTTGATTTTTTAACAACGATGATAATCATATATATTTTAAAAATATATTTGGTGTCATAATTATAGGTATAATCAGACCAACAAAGTAGCAAAGCAAGGAAAATTATTTAAAGTGATCTATTTGAATTTCTAGCATTTCAAAGCGTTTCTCGTCATTCATGCATCCATTTGATATAATTGAAATGACTGGATGATAAAAAGGAATACAAATGATAAATTCTAATAAAACAAGTTCGTAAGAAAATTTTTGATATAATTTCAGTTAACACACTTATAACATATATTTTAATATATCAAATTTAACAATTCTTAAAAGCAAAAGGATGACACATCTAATAAAAAAACACGATGTAAAATTGTTTTGTTTTTATATAAATATAATAATTTTTTTCCTTGATTATTAAATTTAAAGGATTCGAGAAAGAAAACTATAAAACATGAAAATTATGCATTTCGTAAATAATTTCAAATGTAATTTACAAATTTAAGTTGTCTATGTAGAATTTATCATTTGTGTATTTTTAAATCTAAAAGGTATATTCCGATTAAACATGTGTTACGCGCACGCGCACACACACATACATATACACAAAAAATCGTGCTGTATATTATTATAAAGTGCTACAATCGTTATTCTTTTTCAGTATTCGAAAAATGGCACGACAATCAAACTGCACGATGTACATTTCGATGCTAGCGATTCTTATACCTGCGAGGTCACTATGACAACGCCCATTTATACCGCGGGTGCTGATCCTGTATACATGAAAGTGATACGTGAGTGAAAGCATTGATTTTAAAATAAAATAATGTATTTTCTTATTAATGAACTTAATATTTATATTTTTGGAATTTTTTTATATTATCTTTAATGAATAATAGTTAAGTGTGATATTGATGTTGATTTAACGGAAATAATCTGAATAAATTGTTAACATGAAAATCATTATCTTATCTATAATAGAAAATCTGTTGTGTGCGTGCGCGAAATCTAAAAACCGAAATTTAAGTGTTAATAATATTATTAATTATAGATATTAAATTGCATCGAGTATGTGTTTTTGATATATTTTTTATAATTTCTTCTAGGTCCACAGAGTGCGACTCCTAAAATTACATTTCAAAAGAGCATATATATGGTTGGCGAGAGCCTGGAGGCAAATTGTACTTCCTCGGCCGCATATCCAGTTCCTTATATAACATGGTTTATAAATGGCAAAGAGGTAAAAAAAAGAGCAATAAAAATAAAAATTATATATATATATATATATATATATATATATATATAATCAATATATAATTTCGATTCGATATATTAATATAAATTATATTAATTATAAATAGATATAAATTTTTATTTCTTAGTAAATTTAAAGAAAGAACATTTGACATACAATTTTATTTACACGCATAAACATTTTACTACAGAGCTTTTAATACATGCTTTCTAGTATATGCAACATTAATTTTTCAAAAAAATTTTTTTTTCGAAATGTACGTTCGTAAACAAATAGAAATATTGTACTTCAATTCTTAAATATTTTTAGAGAGATTTTCTCACTGAATTGCAATTTTGCCAGGTGGATATTACTTTAGTGAATCACTATCCGCATACGCATCATAAGAATGATGCCTATTTGATGTCTGCTACCGCCAGATTAAAGGTGGAAGTTTCTGCGTTGCATGCCGGGCCAAATGGAGACTTGGAGATCAGCTGTCGGGCAACAATACCCGCTTTTCCCATGCAGCACGAGAAATTTGCCGACATTAAGACAAAGGCGGTGTTGGGTAAGTTTTATAGTAAAAAAAGTATTAAAATATGAACATCAATATTAACATCTATAAACATCTGGTGCTTATGATATCTTAACAAATTTTTGATCCAAAAAATATGCATAATTTAATATAATGAGAAAAAAATATCATATAAAGATCTAAAATTACTTTAAAAAGTGATGTTATGTAAAATAAAGATCGACATTTATAAAACTATTTTTTGAAATCTTGTATTTCTACGCTTAACCCGCTTATTTATATGATATATAAGAGCTATTCTATATTATTTTTTATAATTTATTAACATTAAATATAAATACTTTTTGTACGTGGAATTTGTTTTCAGTGCAAATTATACCAGCGCCGGAAATGACGTCTTCCGCGGCGATTCTCGTACGAGAACTAACGCTATCTACAATACTGTGCATATTAAACGCGATGCACGAATTTATTCCTTAATAAAAGTCAATTGCTCTAGGATAATTTGGCTGTAACATACTTAATCGTAAGGATATTAAGGCGATGAACATAAGATCGAACAATCACAATGTCTTCCTTCGATATATCGAAATACACGGGGGCAGCGGTTTTATTGTCTTTGCAGAAGTTTTGTAAATTCATAGACGCGGCTTCTTCGTGCGCAACTATTTTCGATTATTGCTTATAACGAGCGTCGTCTGTCTCGCGAAACATATCAATTCTCATGAGAAGTAATGTTTGAATATTCGGCAAGTGTGTCGGAAAGCTATGTCTCTTCCTTCCGTATACGCGTATCTACTTATTATATAAAATATATCGAATTTTGAAATTTTTATTCGAGGATAGAAACAGTAATAACGATCTATATTATCGCAGAAATATTTTCGCGATGCGAAATATCTCCATTTCATAGCGGACAAAAAATTCAATGTGTAATATACACAATATGCATAAATATATATTATATATATTGTTGACTTAATTAACGTAAAAGTCTTTTAAAGAAACAGTTTATTCCACGCTTTAAAATGAAATGTGGTTCTTTATTGTTAAACACACATATGAAGATCTGATCTATAATAATGTTATCGAGATACTCTGTTATATCACTGTTGTAAATTGTAATTTATATCTTATTTTGAAAAACGATATAGTTTTCCGATACGCATAGTATAACATTTCATCTAGTCTCGCCTCGCCGCTAGGGAAATACAATGTTTTTTAAGCTAGCAAATGCATTCCTGTTATTGTGCGCACATTTCCATAAAAATCATGCAAAAAATTGGTGATCATAAAATACTTGGAAATCCGTTGAATTAGTTTAACAGATTTTCTCTTTTTACTTTAAAACAAAAAGAAAATCTAATTTCTCGATATCAGTTTCTCATTTTTTTTCTTCTAATAAATCTTTCTCTATCGGAGCAATATTTTCTTATTATTTAATCCATTAGGATTGTGATAAAAATAAAATTGATTTTTTAATACTTAATTTATATCACGCGCAATTTTTTATATTATACGCCCCGTTTCACGATGTTCGATAATATCGATGAAATCAACTTTCCGACAATAATTTAGAAAGGCGACAACTTTTTCCTGCGTAAAATAGAGCATAGACATTAGAACGAACGTTCACCGTCATTTCATTATTAATTCGGAGTTTAGTGCTCCGTAGAAAATATTATACTTAAGAAATTCAAAGCAAAAATGGCATAAGTCAAGTATAGTGATTTCATATTTAGATTTCTTATTTGCGTTAATATTAAAATATCTTTATAAACTGTTTTCTACTTTAATAAATTATTATTTTATATAATAGATTATATAACAATGCAACGAGCTACAAATTGGAACCACAAATATACTCGCTTAGGCCATTTTTACTTTCATTTCTTGGTATGTTTCACGTATAATAAACTGCAGAATATCAATGAAACGGGACGTACGAAGGTGTAGTGTTATATTAAAACTTTCTTCGGTGTATTTTACTAAAGAAGCAAGCTTGAAGAACACTGCGGTAGCGGCTTGGCATCTAGAAAAACTGGAAGAGTACTAGGAGTAATTAGAGGCATTTGAGCCAGAGTCTGGTCAGTACGTGCCTGGACTGAGATACGTGCAAGTCACTATTACATTATATATACATATATATATCTAATAATATATATCTATAATTAGTACGTGTAGCATGCAGAATTGCTTAGTTTTAAATTTACTGATAGACAATCTAATCGCATCGCTTTTTTTTTGTAATTGAAGAAATAATGTATATCAATTTTATTCGAACCGATTGAAACTAATTAACGAACTGACCAAACTCTGATTCGACCATTTGAGAAATAGAATTAGTGATTACACACGGTCGTTGTGCTTACGACCAACTTTTTGAAACACTATTGGGCGCGTTACTTGTCGATACGACATTTGTCGAAACTTGATGCGATCCATCTTTTATATTGAACAGTTACATTGAACAGTTTCTTATCACTAAATGTGTATGTGAGATTATCTTTTATCTGTGTCTATAGTTCCTCACTATAAGTTTTAATCTTTTCTCTTTGCTATTGGTACCTGTAATAAATACCAGCAACTTTAAACAGCCGCATATTGGCAGTTTAATAACATATTGATAACTATCATATTTAAGCTGGTACCCCCTGAAACACTAAGAGATTACGAAGAATCATGTTAACGAGCGTTATATTAAAGTGAACGTAAACGATGTTTTCTGAGGCTTTTGGTGTACTAATCTAATCTCGATCGCGTTAGAATAATCAGGATGAATCATTGTCTCTCTTAGAGACTAATTTCTAAAAAAACGTAATTTTGATTCTTACGAATATAAGTCTGTAGCTAAATTAGAGATAGATACTTACGCGAGATTAGACATTTTTCGAATTACGATTTTAAAAACAAAAAAAAAACAAAAATTATACATACTTCTAAAAAATAAATTAATCATTATTATAGTTAGGGAAGAGAAAATGTTTTAGGGAACAACATTAAATATGTAGTGCTTTATAGATTAAAGAATATATTTATGATTAATAAATTTTTACGCATATTTCAGATTGCAACTATTTGCTAAAATTGAGATAACTAATTCAATTGCGTGCGAATTCTTACATGCTTTCAAACTTGTAGTAAAGGAAATACACTACTTTTTGATTTTTATTATATTTATAACATATAAGAGCAAGCATCGGTCATATAACTAAGCAGAGTTTGAGAGCTTAGAAATAATATTTTAATTCAAAAGTGCCTTTTTCATATTATCTGCAAATTAGAAAATATCTCAAGCAGATTCCACTTTGCCAGGCGATATTCCTTGCTTGGAAATATTGAGAATTGACATCGTTTTTTTAACGATCTCATTCTCTTGAATAAAGCTACTCCTACCGTTTTTATTGTTCACTTTAATATATCGAAAACTCGAGATTTATTATAACGCAAATTTAATGTATAGATTTGTTATTTCTAGCTACACTTTTTGTACATAAAATTGTTTGTTTTGAAGCTTTGATTTTACTTTTACTGAAAAAATTAAATTTCTAGCATTTTAACAGATTAATAATGATGCGATAGATGTAAAATTTATATATTTTAAAATTTATATATTTTATATATTCTAAAAAAATATTATGATTTCGTTACTAAGGAATTTTTTTATACCGTTTTTCTAAAGAAATAATATATAATTTATTTTTATTTTAAGGATGGAAAACGCGAAGCATAGTTAGAAAAAACAAACCTGACATGAATACGCGAAAAACAAAAGTCGACGGAGCGTGACACAGAAAATAGAAGATCTCACTAAACTTTTACGACAGCTCGCACGCGATGTTCCTCGCGGTGGTTGTCCTAATATCCTATATCTGTCCGATTTCCCTGGTGGTTTGCGACGAAACGAGTATGTCGCCGAGAGACTTTACGACCGACAAAGTGGCAGTGCGCATCGTCGGCGGGGAAATCAGCAGCATCAAGAATTATCCATTCATCGTATGCGTGCGACGCGCCCATTTTAGCCCCTTAACTTTTAACCTTTAAAGGATATCAGTATTTTCACAAATGCACCGGCCTACACCTAACGAATGTGCGTATGTAGTACGATGCGATTGTGACGTCAAAAAGCGAGGCAGTTGCACAAAGAATCGGGAAAATGCATAGCGTTTTATACCAATTTTAAATTTGACATGATAAAGGACTAATGACATTTACGTGAAGCATTTTCAGTTTGTTTCAGCCATTTTTATTTAATTCTTTTTAAGTGTTTTTAATAGCATTTTAAATAAAATTTTAATTTTAATTTTATGACTCGAAATAAATATGATAATAATAAATAAGACGATGACATATAAAAAGTGATTAATATGACCCAGTTTATGAGTAAATTTGATCACATAAAGATAATTTGCATAAGAACATGTCAAATTTATTTCGAGAATTCTATTATAAAATCGTGATATAGATGATATGATTTTACACACATCATGTAATTTGAATGTTTTAACTCATGCAATGCAATTTACTTATTTACGCACATTCGATAGGTGATGGCTTACTGATGTACCTTAAGCACTCCTGTTAATTAAACATCAATGCTCGCTTCGAGACATTTCGAAATCTTAATTTCTAAATAAGACATTTCGAATCTTAATTTCTAAATAATTATCTTTTAAGATAAACTTTAGAAGAAGAATTAAGTGCAACAAAATATATTATATGTTATTCAAATTTTTGAAGAAAAAAGATACTTAAATTAAATATATTTATGAGAAAAAATATATAAAAATTTATGAAATTTTTTATTAATATTATTAGAGAGAATATATTTATTAATGATAAATATAAAATAAACATAAAAAAATATATTAAAGGAAAAGAAACTGATTAAATTAAGTATCTTTTTAAATAAAATTTTATCGAATAATTTATTATCAAAGGTAAGGGTTTTTAATATTTGTTGACGCATATAAAAAAATTAATTAATATATCATGAAATTGAGGTTTGAATAGTCTCGAGGATGTTCTGCACTGGCATTTGAGTGAGGTCACAAAGGTTGAAAGGGCAACCGATTCGACTCGGACTCGGTGAATCCGAATTTTTCAAAGTCAATTCCTCTTAGGTCTCGGTCCAGCGCCGACACTTTAGCCACTCGTGCGGAGGCACTTATGTCGCCTGTAGGTTCGTCCTGTCCGCCGCTCACTGCATGGTCAGGTGCGTGTTATAAGACTGCGTTTCGCATTTCGCGTTATATACGTCGCGGAAAGTGGTGTAGTCTCTCTCTCTCTCTCTCTGTCTCTCTCTCCTCTTCTCTTTCTATCTCTCTCTCCTCTCTCTCTCCTCTCTCTCTCCTCCTCTCTCTCTCTCTCTCTCTCTTTCTCTTTCTAGCCGGGGCTTTAACACTCGCTATCTCAATTTGTTCACTTTCCCTATATATTCTCTCCAATACAATTTCTAATCCTCGGATGTATAAGATATAATATTTAATCAAAGATAGTGTAGAATTCTCCCCCGGGAAGGGAGACTCTTAAAATACATCCCAGGATTAAAACACAGTGGCTTCCTCTCAAGCCATCGGATAAAATTGAAGATTTTGCATGAAATTTCCGGTATAAACAAAAACATACACACATTAAAGCTGTTAATACAATGCACGCTAAATCTGTGAGCTTTATTTTTTGTTAATGTTGACTGTGCGATCTTTTTTAATTTAGTGCAATTAAAATGTCGATCTCATGTTCTTGCTTATTTGGTTATAATATATGTAAAGGCGTGTACATAATTAGAAGCTATACAATTTGTTATGAATTTCTAAAGGCTTTCGTGGCCAACTATAATTAGGAAACACTGCCATATCGTACAGCGAATTTAATAATCTTCTTTCATGCTTTCTGTGATATAGTTTATATCACAGAACATACAAATTTAAAGAAATTCTTCTTTGCTGTGATATAGTTTACCATTCAAGTTTAATGAAATTAATATATTTGTGTTATTATAATAATATTAATTTTAATATAATACATTAATCTTTTTTCGAAAGGCCTTATATTTGCATTTTGAAAGAAAAGAATAAAACATGCATACCATAAGTATGTATATATATAAATATATTAAAATTTTACATATTAAATTTTTAATTTAAAATTTAAACTTAAATTATAAGAACATTTATTCTCTTCTTGAGCTGTACAAAATTACATAAAATTTAAATAAACTCTAAGCTCTGTGAAAATAATACGAAAAGATGTAAATTATAATTTTTTAAATTAAAAATATGAGAAAGATTGAGTAAACACTCGATTTTTTATTCGTTATTTGATCAAGAACAATTTACACAAATATACATATTTATATTTCTTGTCACATTTTTTATTTAAAGTTTCTATTGTTCTCACACGATAAATTTTTTTGATAGATTAACAAATGCAATTTTTTGCTTTCACTTTTAACTTTTTAAAAGACTGAGAAGATGGTCTCAGTTTTCATTATAATTAATTCTTTAATATGCGCGGAACTATCTATGTGATGTAAATCTTTTTAGACTTAAAGTAAGTTTTACGACATGAAGGAATCATGGAAGAAATCTTTTGGCTAAAGTAAAAAATAAATTACATTTAGGTATTTTTTCGGCTAATATAATTATATGTATTTATAAAGCGAATCGAATGCCCTGGTAAGACATTTTAGGATTACACCACATTACATGAGGTATTAGTAGCCGTGTTTAACCTCCTTGCTACTGCAAATGTATATGTAAGATACATGTTTATCTATGAGAAAGCGAGGCTTATGTTTGATATTAAGATGTATCTTGTAAGATATAATTCGCTGCCATTTGTGAAAAAAACTAAGCAAGAAGAAATGTGTAAAAAGAAATTTCCAATAATCTACTTTGTAATATGTTTCCGGAAAGAGTCCTTTCCTCTTTAACATATATTTGTATTTACACATTTCATTAAATATTGTAGAGAAATATACCTGAGCAACGATTATGTGTAAGTCTCAAATAAGTCTCAAATTCACGGATGGTAGCTAATTTATATCACGTATACAAACTCTATGTGAAATATTCGTGAATTTATATTTTCGCTACTAAATGGAACTCTCCTTTGAACTATAGATAGCAACAGCGGATGAACAGGATTGAAACAAAAATCGTATAAAATGGGGTATAAGCATAATTACCCGTTGACCGAGGTATTTATTATAGAATGAGTTTTTGATTCATCCATCAGTCCTATTTACCCGCCGTAATTATACCTCGTTTATTTCTGATTGTGAGTAGTGATGTGCTGTCTAGAATATATACGATTTCATGAGTAACGAGAAGGTTAGCGGCGCTAGATCCTAAAGGCAATGATATCTGTCGCGGTATCTATCTGTATATCGATTAGCTGTGTACTAGCGGTAATGTACTACTATTTGCGTGAGCGTAGTTTCTGTTTTACGAGTCAGCTCGGCCGCCCGTGATTGTACGTAAGAAAAATTGGAGCACAATCAAATATCTTTGCTCATCTTTTAAAAAACAAATCAAATTAAATATCTAAAAAAAGAAGGAAAAAAGCGAGTTGAAATACGAAATTACGTTCAAAATAATCTTAATGGATGTACTCTCCGATAATAACTCTTTAGCCGCAAAATCGATTTTACTCTATTTCCTATTTTTATTAATTATTAAAAATAAGAAAAAACTTAATGCGATTAAGTATTTGCTTTTATTATTTAACTTTACTTAACTTCCTCATTCAATTGCTATTCAAAGTATGATGCGAAAAGCGTCGATTAATTGTTTGTAAAATAAGTTTGCAAAATTGTTTATTTTACTAAAACTTGTCTATCAAAAAAAATTTGTTATAATTTTTTTGTTCTTTTATTAAATATACATGATATATTTTTAATTTCTTGAAAAAGAGAAAGAGAGGGAATCGAATCGATTTTGATGTTACACTTTGCATCTGATTGTGCCTCAAATTTTTTTACCGCTCTGGTGTTTAAGTGGAGTAAAAGTGTATAATTAACTTGTTGTTTAAAGACGGTTGTTCGACGACACGTGGGTAGCGGAAAATCCACGCCAGTTCTATGTGATCGCCGGCGCGACCTATGTGTACTTACCAAGCTGGGGTTCCATGCAGATGGAATTGATAGACAAGACATTGCCGCACGCAGAGTTTCGATTCTCGGACATGCGAAACGATATTGGATTGTTCAGGGTGACTATTTACGCCGTGTATATAATTCTGTGTCGATAATAAAGAGAGCAAACCTTGTAACAACCGCGTGGTCGTTTGTTGTCATCCGCGCCCATCCTTACAGTTGAAGAGACCCCTTTATAGGAACGCGTACGTTCAATTCGTCACACTACCTCCGGCATATATTACGGATATGTTTAAAATATATACGGAAGACTGTGTCGCAGCTGGATGGGGACGGCACATACCTGGTTCAAATGTACGTAGATAAGAATTTGCAAAGCGCTTTTCAATATAACAGTACAAAACTTGTATTGTTGCATTTTCTAAAGAAACTATATGCTCTTTCTCTCTTCTTTTCACAAAAGAGATAGGATGTAAGTTTTATTTTTATCCATTATCTTAATCGTGAAAAGTTAAATATAATATGAACTAGTAATAGAGACTTTTTTGTTTAAAATGAACTTTTTCAATATTCATATGCAACATTTTTATATTTTGTATATTTATCTTGTATTCGCTGTTCATTGCTTTCTTAGAAGAGAAAAAATTTTTGATTAACAATTAATTAAAATTTTTTTTAGAAAAATGTATAATAATAGATAATGTTGAGAATTTCATCTTTTAATGTCTGAAGCAAAATAGGTATTTAATGTTTGCATCAATATTTATAAATATATCTATATAATAAATATGTAATAACGAAGCGAATTTATAGAGAACTTGATCACATGATCAAAATATAATTTTTCCATCGATTTTTTTATGATTTATTATTAGCAAGGGAGCGGTACATATTTGCGACATGTTCGGATTCCATTGATTTCACCCGAAAAATGTCCTATGCGGAATGTGCATAAAGAAAAACAATTGTGTGCGGGTCTGCCAGAAGGTGGTCGTGATGCTTGCCACGTTCGTATTAAATTCTGTAGATTTCAGTTTTTTTCGAAGATTTTTACATTTTTACATTATTATATAAAATATTAGTCGTGTATTCGGTAAGAAAATTTTCGCTCTGTAAGCTCTGTAACTCTGTAGCTCTTTAGCTCTTTCTTTTTTTCGCTCTTCGCTCTTTCGTTTTTACTCTACAGTGCTACATAGCTTATAGAGATACAGCGTTATAGAACATTTTTACAGAATAGACCCATTAATGTTTAAAAAATTGTGTAAAAGTAGACAATGTTTTGATTTTTATGCTAAAAATTATGAAAACGATATTAATATTGGCTAATATTTTTACTTTTCATATTTTTGTTTTTATTATACATTCGCATCTTATATATATATATATATATATATATATATATATATATATATACAATATAAAATAATACAATTTTTAGGGAGATAGCGGTGGACCACTGCTATGTAATGGAACACAAGTTGGTATCGTTTCTTGGGGTGAGAGTTGTGCCCGTCCAAATTCACCGGGTGTTTATTCTCGTGTAGATTTTTATCTACAATGGTTGAACGAGACTATTCTTTTAAATGGAACCTCGGAATGTTCTTTTCAATATGTGTTCTGTTCAATAACGATTATTTTGGCATTTTATTGTCAATATTTATTAATATAATATAATAATTATTATTGTATATGTATAAGAAAAAAATACGAAGAAAATTATATAGTTTTATGTCATATGACTTCACTGAAGATCTTATGTGAAATAAAAAAACTGTTTATTTATTGCTCATATTAATTAAATCTTTGGAGGCATAGTTTGTAATATTGTTTTGTAATATTATTTGTAATATTATTTAAATATTATTTTAATAATGTTCCAATACAAATTTTAAAGAATTTTAAGAATTTTTAAAGAACTTACACGAATACTAAATATTATCTACTACTAAAACTACTCTAAAACTACAAAACTACAAAAATGATACAACACTTATTATAAACTATCACACATAAACTATCACACTTTTTACCCTATTTGAGAAAGAATATTTCTAGAATTATATATAATGGAAGAAAAACTTTTCATTATTACGATCACATGTTTAAATTCGCTATTCGATAAGTTCAGAGAGAAGATAAGTTCAGAGAGAAATATATTTTATAAATGTTTCTTCTATTTTTGTTATATACGTGGGCAGTTTGATAAGTCAGTGACTTTTATCAAAGATAGCACTCAAATCTATACGTGGGCAGTTTGATAAGTCAGTGATTTTTGACAGCAAATTTTTTTTCCATTTTTTCCATTTTAGCAAAAGAACACAAACTTAACCGCTTTATAACGCTGTCAAAAAATTTCTATTTGACAGATCTACTTGAAACTTTGTGTGTATACTTTAAAAAGATGACAAATATCAGAAATAAAATTAAACTACGATTTGAGTGCTATCTCTGATAAAAATCACTGACTTATCTAACTGTCCTCGTATATCTTAAGGTGAAAGAGTGATAAGCGAAAAGAGATTTTAGAGTATTGCCATGAACATCATTATACAATTTCAAATTTATTCTCTTCATCTCACTATTTCTTTTTAATTCTTTACTTTCTCTTTCTTTTTTTTCTATATTTTCAACATTTGCTTGTTTATATGTATTTGCTATATTTTTGTTTTTTATTACCTTCATTTATGCTTAATTTATGCTTTATTTATGCTTAATTTACGTTTTATTTATGCTCTTTTATCTATGTTTTCCTCTATTTTCAGCTTTTTTATTAGCATCTTTGTTTTTTTAGGCTATTTTAATATATTTGTATATATTTGTAAAACATTCTATAACACACAGAATACAATGCGGAGAAGTGATTATTTATTTCAAAAAGACAACGGAGAATCTGTGAAATATACCAAATTTCCGGCAATATATAACAGGTTCTAAATGCGTCCTTCTCGCGGTCATGTTTATCTTCGTCTTTCGCTGGAGAATGAACAGTTACAAGTGAAAGTGATCTGGCTTGGCTGACGCTCGTGTATCTGACTCCTAACAGTCTATACCTTACAGTCGAATGAATCAGTGCCGGTATGTTAGTTACATATAATCATTATCTGAATTATTGAGAAATGTTGTTAGTGATAATAGCAACAAGAATTCAATATTACTTTAAGTAAATAAAATGATATTGTTGTTATCGTTATTGCAAGTTATATAAAAAATAATTCTCCTAATTGTCAATAATAATAATTGGGAATCCGTCATCATAGTGTCTGTTGATTACTGTAAATGTTAAATGTCACGTCAAGTATGCAGTAGATAAAGAAAATCTGAGTAAGACGCTCTTTGATATATATAAAGTGTATCATGAATAATAATTCATAATTTCACATTAAATATGGGATTTTAATATTTTTCATATCTGAAGTTCGAAAATATTCTCTAATACGAAATACCATTACTGAGAACTTGTTAAGTATATTAAATAAATCGCATTGAAAGAATTCAGTGTATCACGATGTTCCATACTTACGTGGCATTTCTACTTCTATTTTTAGGGCCTTATAATGTTCATGGTGAGTTTGCATGAAACTACACGTAAAATCTACATTTTTAAGAGATTAATATATACGTTATATATAATATAATGCAGAATATATATACTCCTGAACAAAATTAACGCTATTTTCTTACTTTTTCTTTAAAAGCTGATATTTAAATTTTAATGAAAAATTTTAAAGAAAAAAAGAAAAAAAATTATGCGTTAATTTTGTCCAGGAGTATATATATATATATATATATATATATATATATACATACATATATATATATGTCATATACTTTGTATGTACTCAGTCACTAAAATTCCTTTATGTATTATATTAACAAGCGAAAGTAAAAGCCGGCACGCTACACAATGAGGACGCGACATTTTCATAAGGCTTGTGAATGTATATACAGAGTGTCTCGAAATTAGTTATTAGCATATATTTTATCTACGAATTGATCAATTCTGACTGATTCTTGTTTATTCTAATGTGTTTCTTATTAGGATTTGTAAAGTCAAATCAACATGATAAAGTTGTTACTTGTTACGTTGCATCTTGGGCGGCTTATAGATCAGGAAATGGTGCATTTTCCTTAGAAAATCTTCATCCAAAATATTGCACGCACTTAATTTACGCATTTGCTGGTTTAAATGCCTCAGATTGGACAATTAGAAGTATTGATCCTTGGGGAGATATAGAGAAAGATGGTAATTGCAATTTCTGTATAAGTTTACGTGTATCAAGTTTACGTCTAATTACAATAATTTAAAATTATTAAAAAAATTAATTAAATAAAATATTAAAAAGTAATTTGTCTAACAAAATTACTGTCATATGTGAAATAAAATCTCAAATTAAAAAAAAAAAGAAAAATGATTCAAATAAGATAAAGAGAAATAATTAAAATATTAAATTATTCAGAAAAGTTTTTTTCAAATTACAAACACAAATTAATTCTAATTTGTATTAATTTTAATTTCTCAGATTTTTATTTATTATTTAATTTAATCGATTAATTTATATAATTACATTAAAATTTCTTAAATATAATTTACAAATATGAATGCAGGAATTGGCAATTATAGAAAAATGACAATGCTTCGTAAGCAAGGTTTGAAAGTATTACTTGGTATCGGTGGATGGAACGAAGGCAGCACAAATTATTCGATGATGGCTTCATCATCGGATAACAGAAAAACCTTTATCGCCAGCACTGTTAAGTTTCTCAGGTGTGTTCATTGTATTAATTGTTTTTTCTTATTTTTATAGGATGTTTTATAAAAGATTAATACTTCAAAAATGAGAACTTTAGAAATGTTTTATGTGTAATAGTCGTTATTATCATTTTGCAATACGCGACTAAAGTTTAGTTTAATGTTACGATATGTATCGATAGTTGAAATTCTTTGTTCCGCTTTATTTTATATTAATCTATTTTATATTAATCTATTAATCTATTTCTTTTTCCCTTTATACATTTGCTTGTTTTTATATTTTATTATTACTATTTACTACTTTTATTATTATTATTACTACTTATTTTATTTTTACCACTTATTTTTTGTAAATAAAATTTTATACAATAGAACATTTTATACAATAGAACATTTTTGCAATAGAACATATGACTTCGACGGACTGGATCTTGATTGGGAATTTCCTGGAAATCGCGGTGGTGCTGCGTATGATAAGCAAAATTTTGTTAGTCTCGTACAGGTAGGGAACCATTATAATTTGCTATTATTGTTATTATACATATATCGTAACGAAATAAACGCATTATTTGTGCGATAGGAATTGCGAGATGCTTTTAAACATTATCGCTTCTTGTTGACGGCAGCTATAAGCGCGAACAAAGATATTATTAATACGGGGTATGATATTCCTGAAATTTCCAAATATCTCGATTATATTCACGTCATGGCATACGATTACCATGGAGCATGGAATAAACAGGTTCTTCCAAATACACCACTGCGAAGCAAAGATAAATTAAGTGTGGTAAGAAATATGATTTTCGGATAAGAAACAATATACTCGTATATGCAATTAATATAATCATATAATTATATTAATTATCTCATTAATATTTAGGAAGATACTATTATGTATTTGCTGCAAGAAGGGGCACCAGCTGAGAAATTAGTCTTGGGACTAGCAATGTACGGAAGAACTTTCGTTCTTACATCCGTACCAGAAACACCAAAAATAAATCCAATTGGTCTGCCCAGTCTACATATTGGATTCAAAGGACCTTATACATCTGAAGATGGTTTCATGGGATTCAATGAGGTATTTCCTATCATCTCATATTTATATCATATTCATTCTACAATTTATATAATTTTTATATTTTTGACAACTATTATAAAAACTATTTTTGTGTAACTTTTCGTTGTAATTACGGTACCAAAATATACGATAGAAACATTTTTCATACGTATATGCGAGAAGAAATATATTATATAACATTCTAAAAGATATAAATAAATATTGTACATCTTTTGAACAGATTTGCGAAGCATTGATATTACATCCGCAAGATTGGACAACTGGATGGGATAATTACAGCAGCACAGCTTATGCGATTAAAAAAGATCACGTTGTGGTTTATGATGATCGCAAAGCAATTATGATGAAGGTATCTTTTGCTCTTTTCATGAAACAGATTTCCCACTAAATTCTAAATTTTCTATTAAAATTTAATTATGTCCATAAAGACGAATCTGGAATTTTTAATCAAATTAATGAGTCTTGTAAATTTCAAATACTCTTTTTAAACTTTTTCATATAGTCACTAAGAACAATTTTGTTGCTCAAAAATATTTGACAATTTTTTCAAGCTATATTTTGCGGAAAATAAAGAATTTATTTTAATATTTTGTTGCTTTATTATAAGAATACTTTAAACAATTATTAATTTTGGGTAGATATATCGCTATATTTTTTGTAAGAAAAACTTACATATATATATATATATATATATATATATATATATATATATATACATATAAGTTCTTCTTAAGAAAACTATGCGCATCAATTAATAATAATTGCATTATAATTCAGTCTTTTTCGCGTAAATTATCAAATATTGAGTACTTAAAATACTTACAAATTTAAAAATTAATAAACTTTATTAGGTGGAATATGCAAAAAGACAGAAATTGGCAGGTGTTATGATATGGAGCATTGACACGGATGATTTTCGAGGGAAATGTTCATTGCAGAGTTATCCTCTAATGAAATCGATTAATATAGTTTTGGCAAATAACACGGTACCACACGAAGAGAAGAAAGAACCAAACTCATCGTCTGTGCAATTACCCTCAAATATTGTATTTGCGCTATCAATCATGATAATTTCTTTTTCTGTTTATGAAAATATCTATCTTTATTATAAAGAATTATTAAATTAATATACAGAATATAATTATATTTTCTGTATATTATTAATATACAGAAAAATAATAATTCTTAAAATATATTACATTACATTATTTATAATATATATTATTAATAATAATGTATATTGTAAAATATAATGTTAACAGAAAAACATAAACATAAACATAAAAAGCAAAATTATACATATATTAACGATTTTAATAAACTGTTTCTATTTTTAATAATGAAAGAGAAAAAATGAGAGCAATTTATAACAATGTATTAAAATATGATTTTAATACAAAGGACTAAGGAAGGAAAAGAACATTTCTAGAATTTTATATAATGAAAGAAAAACTTTTCAGTTTTACTTATTATTGCGACCACAAGTTTAAATCCGTTATTTGATAAGTTAAAAAAAATATATATTTTATAGATGTTTCTTCTATTTTTGTTGATATATATCTTAAGGTGAAAGAACGAGAAGAGATTTTAGCATTGCCATGAATGCCACTATACAATTTCAAATTTATTCTCTTAATTGGTTTCACTATTTATATATATAAATATTTAACGAATTAATCGAACGAATGCATTCCGATTCATCTTTTCGGTCCGATTCGCTTTTTTATTCGATATATATAAATATTACACTTAAGCGTGAGCCCAAGAAGCAGATATTTATAATTCACTATTCGACTGATTGCGTTCCGATTCGCTTTTTTATTCGATATATATAAATATTACACTTAAGCGTGAGCCCAAGAAGCAGATTTCGGATATTCACTGTAAGTCAGCCGCTCCTCGGGCGATCGGGACGAGATTTAAACGGTAGTGCCGCGAAATGGTGTAGAATTTTATGCAAAAAGAACGAAATCGCTATCGCGTCCGGAAATCGAGATATAAATTGGCCGTTTTTCGTCTGCGCGCGGACGGTCGAAATCGTGCACGACGCCGCGCATGTTGCCTGCCTCTCTCGCGCGATATTCACTGTAACGTGGCGAGTAAAATGGCAAGCCGAATGCAATCGTTCGATTAATTCGTTAAATATTTATATATACCGAACGAAAAAGCGAACCAGAATGTAATCGTTCGATTAATTGATTAAATACTTATATATATCGAACGAAAAGATGAATCGGAATGCAATCGTCCGATTAATTAATTAAATATTTATATATATCGAATAGAAAAGCGAGTCGGAATGCAATCAGTCGAATAGTGAATTAAATATTTATATATATCAAACGAAAAGGTGAATCGGAATGCATTCGTTCGATTAATTCGTTAAATATTTATATATATAAATATATAATATATATATATGTATATATATATATATATATTTAATATATTTATATTTAATATATATATATATATTATAATATATAATATATATATATATATTTAATCTTTGTTTATCTATCGCAATTTAAATATTACAAGTATGTGTAATCTCGATACAATTAATTATATATAATACATACTTTCCGCGTATATATTTGTTAAAGTACATAAAATATTTCGTTAACGAACAGATAATAACATTGGTTCGATTTTGGCAAATAGTAGCGCGTTGATGTTTACATATCGCAATCTTGAAAAATGTTTCTTTATTTTATTCTTTTGAACGTAATTTTAATGGAATAATAAGAATTTTGCGGTTAAAATGATCACAAAACTTATTTATATAGAAATTTATTTTAATATATATGTATAAACATCTTGTATCGAGCGTTGCAATTCTCGTGTTATCGATATTTTGCATACTACATAATAGTACGGAACAGAACCACAATTTGTAGATAGCGTGTTATCCATTGAAAAGTTCATTCATTTGGCTATATAGTTCAATGTTTATGTTTTGTGAACATAGAGGCGCTTCGAATACAGGTTCCATCACTTCCATCTAAACTTGGAGCACGATCGCATCAGCTCTTAAGCTTTTTTAAATCAAATGCTAATTAACACACACACATACAATTCGATCTTTGAAAGTCATTCAAACTGTGCTTGAATTATTTAAAATGCGAGGTAATCAATCAGATCATTTTGTCTATTAAAATTGCTTCTTATATTCTATTGGATTATATAGTAATTGTTATATAGTCCTTGTAATTGTTTTTTTAATGATCTAACATATAAAACTTACATGATTCACAGATAAATAGAGATTACAGTAAAGAATGGCAAGTGTAATGGAGCAAGAATTACCTCTAGCAGAATTACTGCAATGTGGAATCAAATTTCATAAGTTTGATGCCAGAGTCGGTGATGTTACTATTAATTGTGAAATCATGAAGATGAAAGATTCTTTGTATCTATGGATAGGAGATTATACTAATCCCACCATGGAAGATCTGTCCTTCTCTTTTACATCAAACATTGGAACACAACCCATTGCGACCAAAATTATGGGTGCTATAGCAGATGCTACATCTACAAACATGGCTAAGAGATTAAGCATAAAGATTGGAAAACCAGTATATGTTAGTTTTAATGTGACAGCAGACAATATGTTATTGTTAGGGATTGAAAAGAGAATACAAGAAGAATTCAAGATGCATAATGATTTATTTGACTTTGAGCATTAGCAGAAAATTTTATAGGATATTTATTTCAAGAACTTTTTGTTAGTAATGGATTTTCTATTAGTTTGTATACTGAAAAGAAATAAATAAATAACAAAGTACATTACATGTGTGTGTATAATATAAATAAAATATATATATCTTCCTTTATTACATTATTTAAATTGTATTTCAAAATTCTGTTAACAAGAAATATGATTCAATAGTAGAGATATTTTATCCACTATTAATTATTGTTATAATGAAAAATAAGTAAGCAAAATTTTTCTTTTTTAACAGTAGTCCTAAAGCAAACGTACAAACATGTAGAAAATCATAATGTATAAACTGTAAAGATTGCATTAAATTCAAATTATTTGAAACTATTTTATTTAATTGTACATTATATATGTATATATATATATATATATATATATATATATATATACATAATTTAATGTGTGTGTCTATTATTATAAGATTAATAATAAAAAAATAAATTTTATTTTATTCATTCAATTAATATATTCCCTGTTACCAAAAAGATATATTTTCTTCTACATATTTGATGTCTCTATTAAAATTAAAGATGATTTTATCTATCTTATTTTATCTATTACTTATTATATATGCAATATATATTAATGGAATAGATAAAATCATCTTTAATTTTATAATAATATAAAGATATTAAACATAAGAAAAACAGTTGCTATTAATTACTTTTTACCATTTTTTTTCATATTTTTTAAAATAATTATGAAAAATTAACATGATGTAAATATTTAAATACGATGTATATATATTTATTTTTAATTTTTTATCTAATAGGATGCATTCCATTTGACATTACAAATACTTCAAATTTAATTGATCAATCAGAACGAAAGAGGCAAAGATGTGTATATTTCGAATCGTTTCGAAAATACATGAATACGATGTACTGAAACACCATTGTGAAACCAGAGAGAAAACTGAGAGATGTCATGACCTGCCTTTAGGTGATCTCTGAAAGCGATATTCCCTCTATGGACATTGAAAACGTGGACATGAACTACAAAGCCAATATACATGAATGTTCTCAGAGGGTATCATGTGCACAATTTCTGGTTTCGTTCCGTGCTATGTGCACGAAATATCGGTAACATCAGAGTATAACAAGACACTCATATATATAAATTGATAGTAAATAAATTATTCAATCGCGAAAGATACTGTAATCTTCCAATGTAATATTCAAAGAAGAAATAAATATTTTTCTCTATTCATTGCCATATTTATATATTTTTATTCACAAAACACAAAATGCCTGCTGTGAAATAAAAACATTTTTAACTTTATTTCTATCAATCTTAATTAGCAGTAACTGATCTTTGATTTATTAATTTTTTAATTCTCTTTGATATTAATGATTTTTTTAATTATTTAAAAATTTAATTATTAATACATGTATAGAATTTCCAATTAATCACTGATTCTTCTAAAGTTTTTATAATTAAGATTCGAAAAATGTAGATATTGTAAAATATTTTAAATATATCTTCAATATCAATATGTCTTTATACAAAATATAAAGAATTCATATGTTCTATTTTAATATAGTCAACATTATTTATATATTTTTATTATAATTTTTATATCAGCATAATATTTTTATGCTTAATACTTTATATAATACAATGTGCTAAATTATAAAATTTAATACAATTACAAAATAGTATTACTATTAATAAATAGATTGTATGCATACTATCTTTTAGTTTCTAATCATCAATCACTATGCATTTCTATCCAATATATTCTCTTCTTCGAGTTCTTGGATTATTATGGTTTATTGTATTCCTTTGTGTTAAAATCATAAGGATTATCATTATTTATCATGCTTATTCCTTCCTACGAAGTCCATATGAAATATTTTCTATGGACATTTGTTCTCTCGGGTATAGATATTCAAATCACTCAAAGAGAGAGAGAAAGAGAGAGAGAGAGAGAGAGAGAGAGAGGGGAGAGGGTTTTAGATATTCAAATCATTGTAGTTGCCTTTTTTCTATTTTCTTAATTACTGTTTCTTTTTTTTCATTTTTTATTCAAAAATATTAATATAATTAATATAATATATACAGGATGTGATATATACAGGATCTGAAATGAACTAAACTTTAAGAGCGTATTCTAGATGTCAAAATAAGACTTTTTTTTCTTATGAACATGGATCCGCAAATGAACCCCCCTCCAAGTTAAAATTTGAAAATGTGTGAAATTGACCAACACCCGCAGCGCAAATTTATCTCTCAAGAAAGGGTGATAAGTAACGTCAAAACGTTAAACGTATAAAAGAATCGAATGCAATTAAGAATCGATGTGTGTGACCGGAATCAAAATTATAAATTATCATTTTGTCGCAATCCTTAGGAACAATAATTATTTTTTTTTTAATATTTATAATTAAGAATATTTCGTCCGATGCTTTTCATATAATTATGTGATGATTTAAATATATATAATTCGTCTGAGAACGCGCAGTAAAACGATCGAATGGCAAAATCGAATAATTATCGTAATGGAAAGGCATGTGATGTATATTAATCGTTTAATAAATAATTAATCTGTGTGTACATGTGTGTGTAAGACTTTAAAAATATACTTGTATAAAATTCAATTTTCGTATATGTACGTCATAGTACGCGTAAAATATTTCGGCAGCGAGGTCAATAACACGACGTTCAACCTTGATGACGTAGCGCTGTATTGTTATCATAGGCGAAGACCTTGTATCATTCGCACGGCGACATTCCAGTAGTAAAGTAGTGATACGGAACACTTCGTATTGTTGAATTCTTTTTCTAACAGTGTGATCGCGATTAATATCGAAATATAATTCACTACGACTATTACAATTAACAATTAATTAACTCTTAATAAATAACATAAAACTATATGGCGATGATACATCCATCGAAACGCGATCCTTCATTATTTCAAATAAAAATTGAAACAAAAGAGGCAAAAATTATAAATACATAGACGATCTTGTATTATTCACACGACATTCCAACGGCAAAGTAGTGATATAAAACGCTTCGTATTATTGAATTCTTTTCCTAAACGCGATCGCGATTAGTATTGAAATATAATTCGCTACGACTATTGTAGAGCGAATCGTACTTCTTTATTCCTTATACGATATATTAATGTGCATTTCTCGTAATTATTCCGCGATCGGGAGTGCCGTGCAAAAGTCTCGCGATCGTTTCTATAGTATATGAATAAATATAATAAATTGTTTGTTCGCGAGTGAATATAAGTGCTATGAGGAAACAACAAAGCATGAAGAAGAAAAAAGAAGGACATCTGGAAAAGTATCGAACACTCAGAGAGAGAGCAGTGAAAAAGCTTGAAGCAGTCAGAGAGATATGCGGTGAGTAATTTATAAAAATTATTTATTTATTATTATTATTTATATATGTATTATTTTCAAAATAGCTATATTGCTTATTATATATATATATTATAATATATATATATATATATATATGTTAAAGTACGTAAAATATTTCGATGACGAACATATTAAAAATAAATTAACTTATGATAAAGATCATGAAAATGTATCGCAACGATATATATCTTTTCGAATCGCAATCATTAATTACTGCGAATAAAAATTGAAAAAGGGAACATAAAAGGGGATAAAGAAATTAATTTGATTATGATCTTTCGATTGTTGATGCTTATTATAATAATTTCTCTAACGATACTTATTAAAATTAAATAAATTTCGACCAATGCTTTAAATTTTCTTAATCGACAATCATTCATGGAATATTTCAACGACGTTTTATGACTTATGATCATTCACACAGTAACCTTGAACAATAAAGTAGTTTCGTTTCATATATTATCAAATTCTCTCTCTACATAGTCAATCTTGGCGATATAAACAGTACCGCAATAATGTTTCTGATCTACGATTATTTCCTCAGTGGCCTTCGAACAGTGAGGTAGTGATGTAAGACGTTCCATATATTATCAAATTCTTTCTCTAACAATTATTTTGAACATTGCTTTATATAATAGATTTTCTCTTATCTTTTATATTTTTATTTATCGTTTATATTTGCGAATTAAAATTTATATAGTATATTACAAAATTAATTATATATTATATTATATATAAAATTATATATAATATAATATAACCCTCCCATGGGGTACACCTTGTCGCGGGGGGAGGGCTTAGTACCTGGACGGTGCCTTGAGGTTTATTTTAAATTTCCCAATTTATGATAAATCTTAAGGTGCCTGAATGGGAAGCCAAGTACCCTTTCGCGTCGTCGGTGCAGTCAACGTGCCGCGGACGGCAAGCGCTTCGTCAACGCATCGCGTTAGGTATATACATATTAGGGAGTGCCGTTAAAAGTATATACATATTAAGTATATACATCGCGCGATCAAATATAAAATTTTTAATCGCATCGAAATAGTGCGGGAGTGCCGTTCAGTATCGCGCGTAAAATAACGAAAATAGCGATATAAAAATATCGCTCGCGAGTGCGGGAGTGTCGTCAAAGTATCGCGCGCCAACAACATAAGAGAAGGAAAAGGCCTGATAGAGGTATCTTGCATCGGCGAAGCAACCTGATGGTAAATATTTATTATTTGTATATCAATTGTTATAAATCGTACGCATAATAATTCGTTCTTATAATTTAAAGGAATTAAAGAGGAAATTAGAGAGAAAGATTTTTATAAATATGAAAATTTCGATTTAAAAAATAATTTTAAAATTTATAAAATCTTCCCATATGTGTTTATATCTGCTTATTATTTTACACACCGGATATGAAATTCCACAGCCTTGTTATAAATGAATTTTATATTTGTATGTTTCAGACGTAGTTTTAACGACAACATAATAACGGATAACGATAACTCCGCTGCTGCACATCAATGCCATGGTGAGTGATAAAAACTTTTATTTAATTTTAAGATAACGGTAGAGATTGTAGATATATCTGTTGCCTTAAAATGGATGAGCTAGAATAGATTAAATAACTTTTAATAAATTCGTTTGAAATGTATTGCAGCCATCGCGAAAATATTACAGTATATTA